ATTACTTTTCTACAGTTTGAACTTCGGTCTTGCTTACTCCGGCCGTCAACAATAAACCGTTTTAGCTTCTGGACTTCATTAATAGTCTGCTTCGGCAAAAAGAAAGTTCAACTTCAATTATATTATACGCTTTCTTAAGAACTTTTGCATTACACATTTTGACTTCCGGCATTCAATAGTCTGGCTGTCGGTAGTTCTGGCTATGTGCTGTTTGAATTTAGGCATTATACGGTTTCAACCTTGGCAATACAGGGTTGAACCGTCGACTATATGTATAGGTTGAACTTCGGCAATATACAATTTGAACGGCAGTACACAGTGAAACTTTCGGTTACATACAAGTTGAAGTCGGAAATACACTTTCAACTTTGGGCAATACACAGTGTTACACTAGGCGATATACAGTTTAAAAATTTTAGCTAAGGCAATATATTGTTGTAACCTCGGCATTTACATTCATTCATTAAAGAAGAAAAAATGGAGGAAATTGAGAATATCATTTGCTGTCCAATATGTATGGAGGTGTTCCAAGTTCCCCGGATGTTACCGTGTCAACATACTTTTTGTGAGAATTGCTTATCGACCTATATAAACGACAGAAATAAACGAAAACAAAGAATACCCGAGAGTTTCTTCCCGTGCCCGTTATGCAGAGAGCACGTGGCATTGAATAAAGAGCCGTATAACGGGACCATTTTCCCGCTCAATCTAACAATTATTGCAATAGGAGACACAGCGGAAAGACTGAAGAGTATTCAACAGAAGGAGAAAATTTCAAACGGAAGTGCATGTACGTTTGGCAGGAAAATAGAAGATGAGGACGCGGAAATACATGTAAATGGAGATGATGGTGAAGTCGTCAGAGAATTTGCTAATGACCAAGTAAACAGTGATGTTACTGAGACGGTAGAAAATTGCGTAAGATGCAAAAAGCAATACAAAACTGAACTTTTTACTGACTACGCGCTAAAATATGTTCTTATTCCAATATCTGAGCGAAGATGGCATAGTGCTAAGGTATCGTCTGCTTCGTTTCGTTTGCTTATTTGTTTAATCATCTACATGTACGTTATACGGTTCGTCATTTCATACGATATTCAACTAATCTTTGTTCTTGTTTGTTATCCATTGTTTATTGACCTTGTAAAGTTTTCCAAAGATCTTATTGGAGGAGACAATGCCCGCAGCATTGCCAGAAAAATGCTTACACGAGTTGTCATCCACATAATATCCATCGCAATGACCGTTTCCTTTCTTGGTATTATATTATACGGCGCATGCGTATTGGAAAGTATACGAACGCGAGACTCGTCTGCTCCAGCAACTGAAGACGATATGGACAGTGACGCGGAAGAAACCTTACAGGATAATGTATTGTTTGTTTTTAACAGCGCATGGCATATAATGGTAGCAAGTGTTGATAATTTGTACACACAATGGTCGGTCTTCAAACATACGTTAACTGAACTTTTTGACGTATTTTTCCTAAGAAAAATGAGTCAGTCGACCGTATCAGACGATTAGTAGCCCTACAGTCATCTTTAGAATCCGTAGGGTTCCTCAAATGAGTTTTAATAGCTAAAAAGCTTAGTTTATTTTGCGCTTATTTTTGCTATTAAATTTAGTATTGCTATCCAATAGGAAATAAATAAGGGATTATCATTAAAGCTGCACGCCTCCAAATAAGCCAAAATATTTCAAGAAAACCAAACTTGAGGAGAGTGTACTAACATTTTAAGAAAAGTAATAACTTGCATGGATTGTACAATGAAAGACTGATTCACCATATTCCTGCTGTTTGCTGTCTAAGTAAGGGCAATCTTTGCATATTTTGACCTCTTTTTGGTCATTTTCCTAGATTTCTTAGATTTTAAGTGCCGTTGGCAATGTGTAAATTGATATATATTTGTTCATTTCACAATATTTTACTTTTAATTTATTACATTTTCAAAATTTTCATTTAAAAAGTGCATACATCTGAAGACATGATGCTTTATTACTGGAAATAAGGAGTTCATAAAAATGAGGTTTCAGCACAGCTCCTTTACTTGAGGATAGCCAAATATATAGAAAATATAAACGCCCACCATTATCCAATGAAAATCCATGTTACAAGTGTTCTGTGACGTTATCACAATTTATTTTTGAATCGATGTTTTGCCATGAAATGTTAGCGTATCATCTTGTTGAAAAAATATTTTTTCAGATTGATTCAAAAATAGCAACAGAAAATGTTTATGATGATTTTTTTACGACACTGGTCTTCTTATTTCTATAATTTATTCTTTGATGGGAAATGAAACCATGCAGAAATCTAAAACAAATCCATTCTTGTCTTGACAAAACACTTACATGTGGATTCCTTGTAGTTTTGAAAATCATTATTACATAACAAAAGAAACAAACGTTTATAGAAGCATTCTTCTTTCTTTATGTCTCAGAAATGCTATCAATTTTATTTCCTGAACACTTTTTATTGTTGAAACCTTGTTACAGTTTCCAAAAAGAGTCATTTGACATTTAAATGAATTCGCTTTTGTTTCTTCTGCTCTGTTAGCAATGAATATGATTAGTGTGAATTGATATTTTGTATGCAAGTTAAAATGCAAATGTACTACTGTTTTGTAGCTGTCGCTTTTGCTGTAATTTGTTTGTACTAATTTATTTAAGATTGATTGTGTTGGAAGCTATAAAATTATTGAAACACTCTCGGATCTGTTACTTATTCTTAGCAATGAGGGTAAAGTTTCTTGCTCAAGGAAACGAAGGCTTGTCACTGACGTTGTTTGAGCCCACGCGGTCAGCAATCCTTAGATTACTAGTCCGACGCGTTAAGCACTCGGCCACGCCACCACTCTTGTTGTTGCGATATGTTACTGTTCTTGTTGTGTACGTCTACGTTTGCCATTAAATTTTGGATATAATAAAGAAAAAAATAAATAAAAAATAAAACGCGTCTGTTTTAACCATTTCACGTCTACAAACATACAGTTATAATCAGGGCATTTACACTCATGACAAACAAAAACTGAAACGACAGAGAGCAAAAATTTCAAAATCTTGTACGTTTACAGCGAGCAAAACATTATATAACAACAGCAAAAAAATGTTGGCATACATTGTTTACGAACAAAATAAAATGTATAGGCGAGAACGGTTCCCCTTATCTAAGTCCGAGTTAGAAAAAGTTTAAAAAAAAATACAACAAAAGCGAAACTGTTGAAACAAAACAACAACAAAACAACATCATAATAACAAAAGCTAACGCATTTTTATATGTCAACATCGACATTTTATCCTTTTACTGATTACACCTAAATCAAAAAGTTTATATAACTTGGTTATAATTTTTTTCCTCTTACCCCCTTTTTTAACTAGACAAAATATGAACGATAGTGTTTACTTACACTCACTTGTCATTTTATCAATGGGATATTAAAACTGTCACAGTGTCAAAAGTTGAAAACAACGATATACTTTTCGTCATGAAATAATATCTATTTAATGAGTAAAACCATGAAAACAAATTGTTCATCATTTTTTCGGTGGGGATGTTTACGACTCAGTTTGATTTGCATCATGGCGGAAATGTACGGAAGTTGCCGAACTTTGACGCAGGCGCACGATATTGTTTGAGTGACAGGTAATGACTTCAGATGTCACATTATACCGTAACTTAATATGAAATAAGAGGCCCGTACTGACGAACCTATTGTCATGTGGAATGTTGCATAATTCGGGAAAATATGATGATTTTTTAATATATTTTTTTCTTTGTTTAAAAACGTTAAAACTATGCAAAATCGGTAAAAAAAAAATTCAGAACGAATATGCGCTGGAGATGTAAAATTATGTAAAATCTTTGAGGAAACATTTTATCTGATATTGTAAATTGTTTTTATATGAAAATGTGATTTTTCTATTATTGTATAATATCTTGAATAAAGCTCTTGTTCTGTTCTGGTCTGTTCTGAACTATTTTCCCGCAATCATAATGATTTGTATTGTTATTGCATTGGATACAACACCTAAGATGCAATTTGGCACAATATATAAGCATAAAATAAGAAAGGAAACAATATCCTGTTCCAAATACTGATGTTTATCCAGTTGAGTCATTGTGCAAAATTGCTTTTATCTCATAATCAAAGCACTGAAAGCACCGGAAAGCAATTGAGCTTGGGAAAACTAGTCAAATCTACTAGCAACTTTTCGATAATGATCGGCTGTTGAATCGAAACCGAGGCTAGTTTTGAAATGTTCTAATGCTGCTTAAATGTCTTTACAGGAAATAAAATATATTTGCAATGATATACACTGCTTATATATACACATACACGGGGTTTTATTTTATTTTGTTTTCTCACTACATTTGCATTTATTACATTAACACATAAAGTACTGAAAAATAATATGCAAATAAACTGAAAATCTTTTTATATTTATACACTTTTATTTGAACGGTAATGAGTAAGAAAATTGTCTCGTTTTAAAATGCTTACCGAGTATATTGACTTTAATCAGCTACAAATGTCTTGCAAATTTCATTAGTTTTGCAGTAAAATAATTTGGTCTGCAACATTGTTCATCCAATTTCTTGCCTCGGGGAGTTCGGTTTTATATATCAGGATTGTCATTGGTCAGTGTACATTTTGTTGCAGTTATTGACCAATCAAATTTCTGACATTCCAGTTTGAGCTCTGAGAACTTTTTTTGTAACCCTCGGCCCTTATCTATCGGATTTTTTTTCTTTAATATCAGTGTTTGGCACGTTAAAGTCCTTCGATTTCCTTTACTTTTTAAATATATTGTACACGGGAGTATAATTCAATGTTCCTAACAATGTTATAAAATTATATATATAAAAAACAAATAAGGTAAATAAATAAACGAGAAACAAACTGCCATTGTAATTTTCTGTGATTTCAAACCACGTGCTGGCCTCGCGCATCTCACGTCGCACTATTCTTAGTTCCATATACAGGTATTTTCGTTGCTCAATTAGCTGGCTGTCAGTTTGCCTGTCGTCTGTCAACGTAAGGCAGTTTGTGAACGCTAAGGCAGACGACATTTTTTTCTGCTTGGATCTCAACAAAAACTTCCGGTGACAGATAGGGAACTTTTACTATGGAATTAACGGCGTCCCCTCCGTGGGCAATAAATTTTAAAAATGGAATTAATTTTCGTGTATTAAGGTAATTTACAATACAGATATATTTCTTAAATAAATACTTTTTTATGTTTTCAAAATAAAATGTTTTCTGTAATTTCTTTTACGCTCACAGTAGCAAAAACAAAACAGTAACAGTAATTTCTCAAAGTAAAGTTAAATATACTATACATGTATTTCATCATATCGGAGCTTTCGTGTTATTAACTTTTTTTTGATTGATATATCTTCGTTCATTTTCATGTCATAAAATGTAATAAAATACCAACAATCTATAATATCACAGCCCCCATGTTGTGTATTTTAATATTCCAATTAAATGGTCAGTGAAGACAAAATAATGTGAAAATTTTAAGTTTTACTTTAAAAGCCTACATGATCAACGGAAATTTCTATAAATATCATTCAGAGTGTATCGGTAAAATTCAATTCTTAAAAGAGTTGGGAGTCTTTTTATAATTTAGCTCGTTTTAGTTTATACAAATTTATTTTTTCGATTGTATTTGAATGGAAGCGACAAGCTTATTGAAACACACTCGAATGCGTTCCTGGAACAAACCAGTACAAAGCAATGAGTGAAATGTTTCTTGCTCAATTTCAACTCAACCTGAAAGCGATGAGAACAATGCCACTTTACTATATATACATTTATTTTGACAGAGAAAAAAACCCGACAAATATAATGTTTCATTGATAAAACTTCGCTTGCTTGTCCCTCAAAAACATCAAATGGTACTCTCTAGACTTTGTATGGATATTTGCGGAATAGGTTTACGTTATAATTACTAATACCTATTGGAGTACCACTTGCGGGTTGGCAACATTTTGTGAACCAATCTCTACATTATTTATGTACATTCGATTCATGCACTAAATATTTTGTAGAAATTACATAAATGACGTTATTCAGTACATAAGTTTTCAAATTACGTCACATTTACGTCATTAAACATTTTCTGGTATGGAATATCACAATCAAAGACGACAATACGGACAGACTTACTCGTAACAGGGAAACAACCTGTTGACAGCGATACGATTAGTTTTTGCAAGGCCTTTCGTCAGCTTTCACCTTTTTTTCTTACGGAGGTCATGAAAGTGAGAATTTCCGCTGAACAGTTACCTGAGAGCTAGACATCCCCGTCTGTGATAATAGCCGGTGTTTGATTCTTTCCTCTTTTTTTGCATATTACATTATTTTTAAAGAAAACACGTAAACTAATATTTTCAATTCATACTTCTTTGCATTCACGAGCGTATGAATTTACACCGGCAAATGACGTCATCTAACAACGCAATTCATTCATAAAAGGCGCGTGGGAATGACGTCATTTAAAGTACGCGACTTGTCTTACATGGGGGTGTATAGCATCGATGTAAACAGTAGAAAAACATACTCAGCTAATGCCTCGTTTTGACAGCTATGTACTCGTCCAATATAAGTCAGTATTGTACTCAACAATGTATATAATAAGCTCATTTAAGATATCATATAAGTTTATAAGATAGATGTAATCTATTTTATATGTATAGGTATATACTCGTATTAGGATAAGTTAAGCACATTATAAGATAGATTAACTTTATTGTTTATATGCAGACTTTAACACATGTTAGGTATTTCAATGAGAGAGACGTTCGATCGTTGTATAGAGGTTTTTGATAAAGGGAGGTTATGTATTGCTTAGGGGGAAAAGCATGAGGTAATCGCTGCACAGATGGCCGCTCTGTACAGGTTGCACTGTTTATACAGTTAGAGCACCAACCGAAATTTGTAATTAACTCGTTTTTTTGATAATATGAATATAAAGAGTAAAAAAAAAGTTATGGAAGTTTACCGGTTTACAGGATACTTCAAAGGGTCGATGACAACAATGGGTTTATTATAGGTTGAAAACATGTCATATAACAATATTAATGTCAGTCAAACGCATGAATCCTATGAATAATAATCATTGTCAAACCAGCGACTGATTGACAAATCTGTTTTATAATAGGTGTATTCTCTTATTCGATTTCGTATATGAGCCATGTCACGACAAAACCAACATAATGGGTTTGCGACCAGCATGGATCCAGACCAGCCTGCGCATCCGCGCAGTCTGATCAGGATCCATGCTGTTCGCTTTCAGTTTCTCTACTTGTAATAGAGTTGGTAAGTGAACAGCATGGGTCCTGATCAGACTGCCCCGATGCGCAGGCTGGTCTGGATCCATGCTGGTCGCAAACCCATTATGTTGGTTTTGTCATGACACGGCTCATATATTCTGTACATTTAAAGGCATCTTCTTTTATTCTTATTTTCTCAAAAGCTGTTTGATTTTTGGTACCCTATTCCATGGTCATCGTGTTTCTTATAAAAGAAATCACACGGGTTTCTACAGTTTGTAAGACATAATATATAACAAAGTGATAAATGTTGTTAAAGGGCTTTTATCTAAGCCAGTTAAATGCAGAAACTGATACTACAAGAAAAAATCCCTATTAAATTTTTTCTAAAAAGTTATTCATTGCCCAATTTCCTGGCTTCTGTTGCTTTTTGGCAACTATTTCAGTCCAAATGATTAAGTATTTTGTATAGGAGTCAAAATACTACTTTGTTTATATTTTGCCACTTTTATTACAAATAATTTCATATTCGGCACTTCTTTCTTCAGGCAATAAGCATCGTACATATCTTAAACCATTATAATTATATAAACATAACAAAACTCATTTTTGACTCTATGGAAGGAAGTATTCAATCAAATAATAAGGCATAACGTGCTTTAAGTAGGTTTAAAATACTTTCGTTATTCATTTGTCATTCGTGCGTTGTATAGTCATTTATTCCATATCCAATTTGCCATTTGCCATTCGAGCGTAAAACTTGAATGATGTCTTATGTTTATTTGTAATTCATACCTTATAATGGCTTAATTTCTTATCCATTTGCCATCTGTAAGTTATAATGTATTTTATTCCATATTCATTTGTCATTCGTGCTATATTTGCCATTATCTCGTACGGTAGGTTTATTTTGTACTCAGTTGCCATTTCCTCGTAACTATAGGTTTTTTTATACCTTTTTTGCCATTATCGCGTAACAATAGCTTTATTTCGTATTCAGTTGCCATTTCCTCGTAACAATAGTTTTTGTATACCCTTTTTGCCATTATCGCGTAACAATAGCTTTATTTTGTACTCAGTTGCCATTTCCTCGTAACAATAGTTTTTTTTATACCCTTTTTGCCATTATCGCGTAACAATAGCTTTATTTTGTACTCAGTTGCCATTTCCTTGTTACAATAGCTTTATTTCGTACGCATATGTCATTTCCTCGTAACAATAGCTTTATTTCGTACTCTTTTTATCATTATCTCGTAATAATAACTATATTTCGTACTCTTTTGCCATTTCTTCGTAATATAGCTTTATGTCGTACTCAGTTGTGACTTCCTTGTAACAAAAGCTTTATTTCGTACTCTTTTTGCCATCATTTCGTAACAATAACTTTATTTTGTTCTCCATTGCCACTTCCTTGTAACATAAGCTTAATTTCGTACTCTTTTTGCCATTTTCTCGAAACAGTAACTTTATTTCGTACTCTCTTTGCCATTTCTTTGTAACTATAGCTTTATTTCGTACTTTCTTGTGATTTCATTGTAACAATAGCTTTATTTTGTACTCTTTTTGCCATTATCTCGTAACAATAACTTTTTTTAGTACTCAGTTGCCATTTTCTCGCAACAATAGCTTATTTTGTATTCTATTTGCCATTACCTCGCAACAATAACTTTATTTCGTTCTCCGTTGCCTTTTCCTCGTAACTATAGCTTTATTTCGTACCCTTTTTGTCATTTCTTTGTAACAATGGCTTTATTTCGTTCTCCATTGCCATTTCCTCGTAACAATAGCTTTATTTCGTACTCTTTTTGTCATTTCCTTGTAACAATGGCTTTATTTTGTACTCTTTTAGCCATTGTCTCGTTACAATAGCTCTATTTCGTACTCAGTTGCCATTTACTTGTAACAATAGCTTTATTTCGTACTCTTTTTGCCTTTTCCTTGTAACAATTTATAGCTTATTTCGTCTCTTTTTGCCATTATCTCGTAACAATAACTTTATTTCGTTCTCCGTTGCCATTTCCTCGTAACAATAGCTTTATTTCGTTCTCCGTTGCCATTTCCTCGTAACAATGGCTTTATTTCGTTCTCCGTTGCCATTTCCTCGTAACAATAGCTTTATTTCGGATTCTATTTACCAATATCTCGTAACAATAACTATATTTCGTACTCTTTTTGTCATTTCCTTGTAACAATGGCTTTATTTCGTACGCAGTTGCCATTTCCTTGTAACAATAGCTTTATTTCGTACTCAGTTACCATTTCCTTGTAACAATAGCTTATTTCGTTCTCCGGCCATTTCCTCGTAACAATAGCTTTATTTCGGATTCTATTTACCAATATCTCGTAACAATAACTATATTTCGTACTCTTTTTGTCATTTCCTTGTAACAATGGCCTTATTTCGTACTCAGTTGCCATTTCCTTGTAACAATAACTTTATTTCGTACTCAGTTGCTATTTCCTTGTAACAATAGCTTATTTCGTTCTCAGTTGCCATTTCCTTGTAACAATAACTTCATTCTATATTCATTAGACATAACCTCGCAATAACAGCTTTATTTCAGAACTTTGCTCGATTTTATTTATATATTTTAAGTTAACAGAAATCTGCTCGATTGATTAACTCAATTTGTTTTAAAAGTTAATCGAATCTTTATTAAGAGAAATCTGCCCCCTAATGCTTAGAATTATCAGGCAATGACACTGTATGAATCTATACGCACCTGTCATTATGACAAATAAAACTCAAATAACAACAATAAGGCGCCAACGTTCGTGTGAAGCAAACCGTGAAATGTGAAGCATAAATAATGATAAAAAGCCATCATTATAAACAACAACAGCAAGGGGAACGATAATAACGAAGAATTAATGCAAACTTTTATCTATTTGTAAATATTTTTCATGAAAATTCCCAAATTTCGTATAAAGCGGGCGACAGTCACGTGATCTATACGTCATCAATAACAATGTAAAACAATCATGGCGGAAATTAACTCTACGAACATTGTTCAACTGCATTGTTTAACTCCCCTAATCGCCCCTCTTTTCTAACTCCTTCATTTAATGGCCACCATAGGCAATACATATGAGTGGTTAAAATTGTAAAAACATTTTGAGCAATCTAAATATAGCTCGGTAATGATATAAAATCATGATAGTTCACGGTTTTTACAATATTTACCTCCCTTGTCAAAAGTTGTAGCCATTTGTCAATATAATTGACGAAATATAAACAGCTGATTTTAGCGAATTATCAAATTCATTTATACATACGAAGGAAATTATTATAATAGCACCAATATTTAAACGTTTTTTTTATCAATTTTCATGAAGATAATAGAAATATGAGGTTTTATCGTGTCTGCATGTATATTGGGAACGGTCCTTAAAATGGCGACCATTGCTTTGTGAATATTAATCATCTATACAAATCATAGTCTTTTTCTTCTTCTTCAATCATATCCAGGGTTGATCGCAAAACTGTTGTAAGGCATCCTTTAGTTCGTATAAGTTACTGCAGTTTTGCGGTCAACCCTCGATATATACATTCAGCAAATTGACATTTTAAAACATATGACATTAATTAATATAAGCTAATATAACTAAAGATAAGTGTAATTTATCATATATTCAAAACATTTGACATATAAATTGTCATATATGACAACAGTCTATGCATGTATTGCCAATGTTAAACACTTTTTCGTTTGCTTATACTGTATCTATATAATTATTATGTCACTTTAAAGGCACATTGAGTCAAAAAATATATATTATTTATTCCTTTCCTAGAAAGGGTAATAATTGATGAAGTGTATTTGAGAAGTTTATCACGTGAAGAAAATAGCGTTGAATATGAAAATATGTTTAAGAAAGGTAGCAAAATGTAAACAAAGTGGTAATTTGTCTTCCATGCAAAATATTGGACCACTATAACTGTACTTATTGCAAATTATATAAAAAAATAAAAATTATATTTAAAAATACATGGGGCTATATACACATTATATGTATGTATGTAATGTAGATATAAGATTTAATTAACTACCTCAATTTGTGATTTATATGCTAATTATCGAGAAAGATTGAGAAAAGTACTTTGTTGGAGTCACAATTGCAAGAACTTAAGTTGTTTAAGGCTTGGACGAAAAATATGAAAAGTAAATTTTGGGTCCCACTTTAATAAAAGACCAGACGACATCTTCGTACACGAAAACAGACGGTTTCTGACATGGAGTTTTGACAAATGACTTAACATTCTACCAAGTCAGTGCTTGTTGTCGTATCCCGTCAGAAATAACTGATAACATTGTGGCAAGGCAACGTTGATTTGACTTGAATTCTAGTACTGTTATGTAAAAAGGTTACTTAAAGACACACAATCGATAATATCCGAAATGAAATATCACATTTATCAAAATTGATTTATTCTATATCGAAAATTGAACTCACTGGAGGTCAGAAATCTCATCGGTCTATGTTCTGTTGTATGTTAATATTCGTATGAATATTAAGTGGCAGGTCATAAAACTGTTCTTATACAGTTCAAACTACTTGAAAATGAATTATATTTAGGTCAATAGTGTCACCAATTAAGCAAATGACATATTTGATCGAAAATCTAAAAATAGATTATATTGTACTACACGCCGTTTCTTCCAAAAGATGACATATTCGATCGATAATCTAAAAATAGATGACTATATTACATGCGCCTTTTTTCACCGGATTGCAAATTTTGTGCAAATAAGATTTGAGTGGTATTACAATGTTGTTTGAATGACATACAGCCGTTTTAGGAGATACGAAATCCCAGTACATCACGAAAACAACAATTCATTTGTCGACAGTCATTTTGTGTACTGTGGGTTAATTTATTATAAAACGACCCTTATTTATTTTTCTTTAGGTTCATTTATTATATAAAAACCAGTCTCAATTCAAGATGTCAGAAGTATAACCAGTCCGTCACGATTTCTCATTTTACACCGACTTACTTTGACAATTATGATTTCCTCTCGACCTGTGAAACACTCACCGGTTTTGCAAAACCTATCATCGTCTTGAAAACAATGACGATTTGTTTCGTCTGCTTTTTAGTGAACACGTGGTCCTTAAAAATTGTCGCAATGGCAAATATAGCTTTAACTGCTATTTAGACAATATGTTTTATATCTTTTTAGCTATATATACGTATTACGTTCTTTTGAATTGACGTTTATCGAAACATATGTCGTAAAAGTTATATACAAAATGTAATAAATGTAATGTATATTACATAAATGCCACTTTCGAGATTATGCACCTATACACATTAAGCTGGTATTTGAATTCACGAGAATTCGTGGATATTGTTACATATTTAGAAATTTTACAGTTTATTCTTCAAGTGTCAGTTTAATTCAGTTTTAAGCACAAAATTCGACATTTGAAAATGTTACAGTTATAATATTTTAAATAATACGGACAAATTTACTACGCTTACAAACAAATGTATCCATTTTAATAGCCTTTTCCATATTCCACTTTAAATGTAATTTAAGCTATTTGATAATCGGTAGCTATTTCTGCGTATTGTTTCACTCATAAATAGTTCTTGATTTTTACAATATTTACCTCCCTTGTCAAAAGTGCCCGCCATTTTGGGGGTCAATATGAAAAAATCAGTATAAATAACTGGTTTTCGCGAATTCTCAAATTTCTTTTCTACATATGCAGCAAAATATTGTTAAAGTTCCTAAGTATATGTAAATGATTTTAGTTTTTATGAATGTGATAAAATTATGAGAGATTTTATCATATTTTAAGCATATGATATATTGGGGATTACTCCCGAAATGGCGGTCAGGGGAGGTAATAATTGTGTGAAAAAACATTTATATACCATCTCCTTATAATGTACTGCACTATGGTGCAGCCTACTCGTTTTCTCTGTTTGCATTTACCAAGTGTTGCCATGTTAAACATGCGTTAAATGAAACTTCCTGGCAAGTTCACGTTGACCAAACTATCCTTATTTTGCAAAGTCTTTTGTTCAATGCGCAAACATGTCATAATAGTGAGTTAATTAATTAAAATAAACCTGTAAAATGGTATGTTAAAACCATGAATTCCATGTCAAAACAACAGATGTTTTGTGTTTTAACATACAGTCTTTATTTGTATAATTTACACTGTAATTTGTTTAATTCATTGAACCACAAAATTTGGATTGTTCGTACAACGGAAATACTGACATTATGAAACGATGCCGGTATGTTAAAAGATGAAATTATATATTGAATTTCATAGTGTCTATAGGGCAATTAAAATAGACTGACGTGGTTGTGTTGATAATGGCCGCCATAGAAGTTGGCCGGAAGTCGTTCTACGTCACATGAAGGTAGTGACGACGAGGAAGTTATCGTCAAACAGGGAAAATCATGAATTTATTAACAAAAACCACAAACATTCATGACAACACACTTTTTATTGTGTTTTGTGACATAAAAAGAGATATGTAAAGTACTTGTCAACGGTATTGTGCGCACGTGATGTTTCTCTGATAAAATGACATCACAGCTGTGTCTTTATAGCAAAGCATCTGACACGTGGTTACAGTTTCGTATTAAATAAAGAAAATATAGCTCTGTAAAATGATGCCAAAATAATTAAGGGGCTGTGACATTGATTGCAATATATTTGGCAAAATCCGATTTTTCAGCCAGAACACTGCTTTGCCATTTAGAATGTTCTTTGGGTTGCTTTTCGAGCTTGTATATAAAAAAGTATAACGCCATGTTGTTATTCTACTTTCAGTTTAACTATCGCATTATGTTATTTGTTATTATTACCACCGGAAGTGAGTGCACGAGGTCGAATGATGGAACCAGCACAGAGATCCAGTTTATGGACACGAGGGTTCAGTTCCCCTATTAATAATGATGACACAGGACTAAACTGTGGGGGTCCATGGGTAAGATTTTTGTTATCAAATTATTAATGAAAATTTTAATAAAATCTGTCCTTTAAATATGCTTATGTCTATAACACGTTAGGGCATTTACCTAATAATAGGCATAATTTAGGTGTTAACTCACTTAGAAACTGCACATACATTATCAAATTTCCGACTAAACTACAACAACAACAAAATACACCATAAAAGACGGAAAACTAGAACTGTGTCCAAAGGACACGGATGCCCCCACTGACAACATATATATGGTATATAGTGAAAAAATCAACAAAGGGCCATAATTCTTTTAAATTTGGTTGCAGCAAAAATTCCTTCCTTTACTACCATCTACACATTAAGGTTGTTCATCCCTGGAAGTTTAAGCAAAATCTGCCATCCGGTTTAAGAGGAGTTGCGTTCACAAAATTTCTATATGGTATATAGTGAAAAAATCAACAAAGGGCCATAATTCTTTTAAATTTGGTTGCAGCAAAAATTCCTTCCTGTACTACCATTTATACATTAAGGCTGTTCATCCCTGAAAGTTTAAGGAAAATCTGCCATCCGGTTTAAGAGGAGTTGCGTTCACAAAATTTCTAAATGGTATATAGTGAAAAAATCAACAAAGGGTAATAATTCTGTTAAATTTGGTCGTAGCAAAAATTCCTTCCTTTACTACCATCTACACATTAAGGTTGTTCATCCCTGGAAGTTTAAGCAAAATCTGCCATCCGGTTTAAGAGGAGTTGCGTTCACAAAATTTCTACATAGTATATAGTGAAAAAATCAACAAAGGGCCATACTTCTGTTAAATTTGGTCGCAGCAAAAATTCCTTCCTTTACTACCATCTACATATTAAGGTTGTTCATCCCTGAAAGTTTAAGCAAAATCTGCCATCCGGTTTAAGAGGAGTTGCGTTCACAAGATTTCGGGACGTACGGACAGACGGACGTACAGCGTGACGGACGGACAGACGGACGGACAAGTGCAACGCTATATGCTCCCACTCTGTGGGGGCATAAAAACGGAAAGTATACATGGACTGGTCGAAAGTGCACCAACTAGATAAAAGAGCAAGGAATTAATACTAAAAACTTTTTTTCATCCAAAATGTTTTGCTGGCATAGACGAATGTAAAATGTCACGAAAGGAAGAAAAGTTTAATTTATACTTCACGATATAGGTTCAGCCATTCATTCATTCACAGGTTAATATGAAAAATTACAAAATTAAGTACAAGAAAGGGAAAATAGTCCTTGAAAAAAGTAGTTCGTGTATTATACAGTTTTGACAATAGAGATATGTGATATAACTGTACTCACTTTATTTATTACCCTGTCATAACTGTTATGACATTATGCGTAGACAATATATTATAATACATGTATGTATATGTATTTTATATATTGTGTAATATGGCCAAAAAGTCTGCGGTGGATGTAGTTGAATGCACGCGCGCGTTCACACATATTAATTTGCGTTCACACATATTAGTTTGAACTGTTAATAACTTAACATTCAAAATAAATAATAACATTACAACAAATGTTAAGCAAAGGGTTGGACAACAAGTTCTTTCAACAACAGATTAAACCCTTCTAAGAAGCGTTATCTTGGGATTAATATACATTTATCAAATATACTAAAACGGTGATGCCAGCGGTCAGCCAGTTCTGGCCAGTGTTCACATGTACGTATCTTGATCTTAGTTTAAAATGATGACATAGATTTGTTATTATTTATTATTGTCATCATCGCTCAAAAGGATATTAGTCGGCCCGTTTAGCTAAATAGGGGGCGCATTGAAAATTTATAATCCAGAGGTCGCTGCTTCGATCCCCGGAGAAGGCGTTATTTCTCCTTCATAATTGATTTCGGGCATAATGGTGTAATGATAATTTGTCTCTCCCCACTTAACTCCCCACAGTAGTCAATCCCTTGCGGAGACATTGGTATCAACTTCTGAGTTATCCAGGAAAACCGGTTTGGTGAACCGGACGCCGAGAATTGACCGAACATTGTGATAAAGCGGCCTTCAACTATTCTAAAGGTTAAATATTTTGCTTTATTTTTTTTTTTGTTAAACCGTTTCTTATAATTGTCAAATCAAATAATTATGGTGTAAAATTAAATTTGCACCGATAACATACATTAACAGTGAGGAAACCCCTCGTTATCTATAATCTACAGGTCCACTGTCTATATGTAAATTAGTAAAGCGGACGTTCGTTTCTCGATCTTCTATTTTTGGAAACACACGCCACTGGCACCCTATAAATAGCCCAGGGGACGCTCTAACATTAATAAGATACACATTTACAAGATAAATTTACTGAAATACTTGGTTTGAAACAACTTAGAATGCTTTTTCCGAAGAAAAAAATAAGGCTAAAGGCCGCTTTAAATATCGGCGTGAAAAACAAAAACAAAAAGAAATGTTACATTTATGAGTATGTTAAATGACTGTGATTATGAATGGGGATGAAAACACATTTAATATTCGAGTCCACATACAGGCGACAAAATTATTTCCTACTACTATAAGACTTTTATATTGTAAAATGTAAAGAATGTCTATTTTAGTACTTGTCGGACATTATGACTTACGTATAACACTGATAGTAAAGTACGTAAAGGTTGACAGACACCGCCATAAAAACTGTCCAGTACCGACTTGTGGTACATGTTTTATAATGGACACGGTACTTATATGTCAGGTGTAATGGGTCCTATATATAATAACGCTTGTATGTCTCTACACATTATGGCTTATACTATCATCATTAAAGGTACTATCTCACGGTTTAAAGGGACTCCACTGAGGTTTAAAAGCCTAAAAACTTAACATTTGAATTTCTTACATAAATAAGCTGGGGCACTTTAAACAGAAATATATGCAAAGGTAGTAAAGAAATATTATTTGAAATAAATTGAAAATCGTATTTTTCAAGCTTTCCTTAACTCGATTTGAGTAAAAAGCGTTTAAACGCTTTTTATTTTAGGTATTTTGTTTTATTTGAATATTTATTCTGGAAAAACGAAATGCGCGAATAGTCTGAAATCTTGCACAAAGATAAGTGCAAATGGTACATTTATCTGGAATTTTTTTTTCAGTCCCATAATGTCAAAAAACCTCAGTGGAGCCCTTTAAAGGGGAATGCCAGTCATGAGTTCACTTTACAAAAGTAAATCATGATTGGTTCGCTTTAAAGCTACTGTATTACAAATTTTAGCCATGCACATTATGATAAGTTCAATTTAAAGCGATCATCTCATAGATAAAAGTAAAGTCAATCAATCATAGAAAGTTTGCTTTAAAGCTATTTTTTCATAGATTAAAGCCATGTTATTCATGATAAGTTTAATTTAAAGCTACCATCTCATAGATAAAAGTAAAGTTTATCAATTATGGAAAGTTCGCATTACATCTATTTTTCATAGCTAAAAGCCATGCAATTCATGATAAGTTTAATTTAAAGCTACCATCTCATAAATAAAAGTTAAGTTAAATATTCATGGAAAGTTCGTTTTAAAGTTATTTCTTTCGTAGCTAAAAGCCATGTTATTTATGATACGTTTAATTTAAAGCTACCATCTCATAGCTACCATCTCATAGATAAAAGTAAAGTTTATCAATTATGGAAAGTTCGCATTACATCTATTTTTCATAGCTAAAAGCCATGCAATTCATGATAAGTTTAATTTAAAGCTACCATCTCATAAATAAAAGTAAAGTTAAATATTCATGGAAAGTTCGTTTTAAAGTTATTTCTTTCGTAGCTAAAAGCCATGTTATTTATGATACGTTTAATTTAAAGCTAATGTATCATAGATGAAAGTTAAAAGTTAATCAATCATGGAAATTCGCTTTAAAGATATCTTATCACAGCCAAAAGCTATGTAAAATAGGATAAGGTCAATTTAAAGCTATCTCTTATACATAAAAGTGAATTTAATAACAAAAAGTTCGCCTTAAAGCTACTGTCTAACAGTAAAGAAAACTTGATTTTTACAAGTTCGATTTAATGCTACCATCTCACAGAAAAGTTTTTTTATGATAAGTTCGGTTAAAAAGGTAATAATTCACAATTTAGAGAAATGTTGATGATGATTCGATAAGTTCGGTTTTAAAGCAACCACATCTCACAGTAAATATTCGTATAAGTTTGATTTATAGGTACTATATCTAATGGTAAAATTAATGCGAATTATGGCGAGTTCGGGTTAAAGGCACCTTGTCACAAAAAAGAGAAATGTTGATTATGATTAGTTCATTTTAAAGCTATGAATTTTTATCAATGTATACTGGCATGCGAGCAGTTCCCGTACAAAAATCGTAGTTATTTGAACATTATTTTTTATTACGCTCACTCACCAAAATTTGAATGTTACACAACAATATTCGGCTCGTCACACAAATCATGGAAATTCCATCATGTTCTAAACATAGAATAACCCTTAGTTATGAGGCCTCATATGGGGTACCGAAATTATCCATTATTTTGTATGAAGAGAAGTAATTCCCGTACATAAAATTTAACCCATTATAATTATACAATTTTATTATATCGGACCTATTTTTCATTTATAATTGTTGAACAGACCATTTTCTAAGAGATAAATAGATGTAATTCAGGAAATAGAAAGTAGACTTAACGCGTGTATCTATTGCCCGGTACCGTTACCCCCAACGCATTCACATGCGATGGCATGCTTGTATGCATGATATTTTACGCATCAAAGCCATAAAATTATTTTATATAGTAACATTGGTCAAAATTCTGATAATTAAACAAGTTTTCGTCACATTGCCTTCTTATCTGTAAACAGGTGGTATTAGTGGAAAACCCTTTAACATGCCTCACGTGTAAGTATGATTGCGCATGCGCGCAAGGACGGAATCCCCCAAATAAAACAAGATCACGTTTTGACAACGCACAGGTGAAAGTGATTTAAAATGAGATTTTTTATACGTACTGCCGAACTTACACTTAGATTTTGTCTCGTTTATGTATCTGCTTGATTTGAAATGAATTTTTGAAGAATGCATGCAAAAATCAAGCGTTTAAATGAAAAATACGGGTACTGCTTCTGTACGGGAACTGCTCGCATGCCAGTATATTAATGTGATTTGTTCGGTTTAAAGTAAACGACAAGTATTAAAAATGTAATATTTACCTATTGAAAATTTTAGATGATTAATTTGATTTAAAGGTACTATTTCACAATTTCGAGAAATAGTGTTTTAACAACAACGACAACAACAACAACAACAACAACAACAATGATAATAATAGTAGTAGTAATAATAATAATAATAATGATGATGCTGATAATAATGATAATAATACTTATGATGATGATAATGATGATGATGATAATAATAATAATAATAATAATAATAATAATAATAATAATAATAATAATAATTTGCTTTAACGAGGCAATTGCTTTAAGGAGGGTTTCTTTTTCACAGGTTGCACTGTCCTAAATAGTCCTCATTTTGTAAAAAAATTGAGTGAGTAACGTAATTTGTCTTAAAAAAATTCGGACAGACGCTGGTTAGATATTTTAAACAATAATATACGGTATACGGTATACACAGTATATATACCGTGTTTCATAAAAGCCAGTGTATGCAAGCTTGTGAATTGAATGATTTATTTTGAGCACAGTTCATCTTTTTAATGTTTTAATGTCACCCTATAAACTATCAATGAATAGCGGTGTTTGTTAGTTCGATGTATGGTAACGGATCAATTTTAAGTGTATTCAAAGTAAGCTGTCAATCTTACATGCGTGTCAACGTATCGGGACAGTCGAGGAAATGAAAAATGTCATTGCCGTTGATGTAACGAATGTAACGTATGCAATAAATTAAGTGCTTTACGTTACCTTTTTATGAAATAGGTCTAATTGTACAATAGTATTCTGTAATCAGATATGTTTTAATATATATACATTTGATGATCTACGCAATAAATCATTCTTAAAGTGATGTTTCAAATGTAATTATAACTTGTATAACTACACCGGGGGTGACATAATGTAGAAGTACGTAAAATGGTATTCATTTTTGTATTGACCTTACCTTTGTCCGGAAAAATATTTCATTGTTACTCATCAACCATTAAATTATATATTCAGAAGAAATATTTTATGTTAGATCATGATGAAATTGCATTTAAGGCCGCAAAAGTGGGATAATTTTAGCTGAGAGAAATAAAATTCACACCATTTCGCGACAGTTCATATGCTAGGGCGTTTCATGATTACACACACTTGCCTAACATTGTGACTTTTCGTTCCAACTTTTTTCCTTTCCGTTCCAACTTATTTCCTTTCCGTTCCAACTTTTTTCCTTTCCAACTTCATTATTTTTCACATTCCGTTCAAACTTCTTTCCTTTCGGTTCCAACTTCATTCCTTTCCGTTCAAACGTCGTCACTTTTCATTCAAACTTCGTTCCTTTCCGTTCAAACTCAGTAACTTTCTTGTCCAACTTTATTAATTTCCAATAAAACTTAGTAACTTTACGTTCAAACTTCATTCCTTTCCGTTCAAGCTTCGTCACTTTTCGTTCCAACTTCTTTCCTTTCCGTTCAAACTTCGTAACTTTCTGGCATTCGGAACTACCTCGGCTATTATTTATAATAACCTCGGAAACAAAATGATTGAAAGTAGTTCTACCATGTGGTTTACAGATGTAAACAGAAACAGAGATAATGTAAAAGGAATGTATATATTTGATATCTAGTGTCTGTTCCGGTACTCTTCTGCTTGAAAATATGTCTGACAACAATTTGTTATTTAAATATGCCCACTGTTGTTCATTTTTAAACAAATCCGACTAAATGTCAACAGGTTGGTTTTTTGTACTTTCGGTTTCTACAGTCATATTAGTAAATATATGAATAATGTATTGTTTGCTTTTGTACCTATGAATTCACTTATTTTAGGTGGACTTTAACTACATATATTTGAAAAAAAACTTACCAACAACTCCAAGCATTAAATTACTTATTATTTACATGTTTAGTTTCTTAGCGCAGGTTAGACCGGAATACCGCATCCGTTCTGTGTATTCATACTATTGTGTTCGAGGTCCTTATCCGAAGACTGACGGAAAGGGCCGAGTAGTTGCGATTGACTTTCTGGTCCAACTTAATTGATTTCAAATCAAACTTAGATGCTTTCCGTTCCAACATCATTCCTTTCCGTTACAACTTCGTTACTTTCCGGTCAAACTTTGGCTCTATCCGTAGCGAATCTTAATTGGTAAATATCTTTTATTCATACTTGTTTGATCACTTCAGGTTCAACATGGAATCAACAAGGGAAAATGTGGCGTCTGTGGTGACAGATATGACGTCATGCCACGTGAGAATGAACCTGGCGGTAAATACGCCAATGGTATCATAGCAAACACGTATACAACCAATGACACTTCAATTTTAGTTGTAATTGACATTCAAAGTTCTCTTGGTGGATATTTTGAGTTCCGTATTTGTCCACACAACAATCCCCACGTGTCAGTACAGCAAGAGTGTCTCAACCAGCACCAATTACGTGTCTGGGACGTATTCAACAAAGAACCTAAATATAGATATTACCCACAAGGCATCGGTTTGCAGCGACTGCGCGTTGAGATACCGCGTGGCATGACGTGTACACAGTGTGTTCTGCAGTGGAAATGGCATACAGGTAATTATAAACACAGTTCTTATAAAATAGTAACCCAAAAGCAGTAAGGCAGGGCCAGTGATCCAAAGGTTACAATGTGTAACTTCAAAAACATTTATCACGACTTCGATTCCCCTCTACTACTCTAGAAATACTTTCGGCCTTGAAATGAGATTCTTGTTTAAACAAAGCTACTGTGCAGTGGTGCTTTATAAATACGTTGCATGTTATAGAACCTGTTGTTCCATGTCCGTATCAAAAACATTACAATAAATCAAGGTCTTCTTGAATTATGTTATAAATGAGGCAAAAAATATAAACATATAGTTTCGTTTCGGGTCTCGCCCGATGGACCCTCTTAATTTCCAGCCGGCTCTTAATTTTTTTATTTTTTTTTTTTTGCCGCTTTTTAAAAATCTTCCTTTTTTCGCGATGCGACAACAGATTGTATTTATTTCAAGCGTGGTCAAATCAGCACACTAAAGGTAGTGCATCATAAACAAGTGAAACTGTTGCAGATTCGTTTTGATTTATCACTTATTTCGTTTAGGCATTCAATTCGGAATAAATACGCCTATGATGAAATTATGGTATTCACAAAAGCTAATTTTCTATCATGGGAAACTTACACACGATTTCAAACGAATGGAAACAAAATAAACAAATGTTTATACAAACAACGTAGCTCTACGTTCATGGTCATGTCTACACTTGATGGATGATTTGTTTTTTATGGATGATTTTTTATGCAATAACATTTTGTTGCTTACACTCAAAATGTGAAGTTCAGTTGGCATTTACTGTTGTCATCAAAGCAATGTTACGTTAAATTCACTAATTTATGTGACAAACTAGACCAGGCTCGAGATTTCGAGCGTTCGGTATTCGAGCTATTTAAGGTAGAATAATACTGAATACAGTGATTTAGACGGAACATGAAAGCGAGTTCGAGCGTAGGAAGGTGCTCGAGCTATCCGAGTTTGAGACATCCGAGTTCGAGCAAACGAAGTTGAACTGAATGTTAATGATTGTTGTTTGCGTATCATTTTTACAACTCTTAAACCTATAAAAATAATAAAGGGTATGAAACATATACAAATTGAGACCTATGGATTGCAAATGTTATAACTCATGTAACATAAAGAAGTAATTACACTCGTTTTGCACCAAGTCCGCGAGGTGCGTTTTTTTGTCGACTGTTTACTTGGTCAGTAATGATTTTAATTGCTTTTTGTCAATCATTTTTTCTATTTGTTTATCACAATGTTTTTGTATGCTATTACATCTTTAATTGCTGTTTTCTGTTTGTCTTTCTGTTGTAACAAAGGTCATGTTGACGGGCATCAATATAATTAAGTCGGAGTGTTCACACACTTTTGTTCGGCTTGTAGCTCTGTAATGGTGAAAGGTCAAAACAAAAACTTGAAAAGGTCTTTCGGTAGGAAATTATATACTATATAATATCATTATGTAATGTTTTTGTCGGGACCGGGCAGAGGTATGCTAGTTGCGTGATATTGATACTTTCATCATCATCATCATCATCATCATCATCATCATCAACATCATCATCATCATCACCACAATCATCATCATAATCATATCATCATCATCAACATCATCACAATCATCATCATCATCATTATCATCATTATCATCGTCATCACAATCATCATCATCATCATCATCATCCCGAACGGACTAAAAGTAACAAGCACAACTCTGTTAGAAGTAGATGATCTGTAGAAAGAAGCGCTGAATGTGACATTTTTAATTTGTTAAAACAGTAGCAAAATTTAAACAAAATAGAACTTTCAATTCCATAAAAAATGCCAAATTACTAAAAATGTACTTATTGCCAAGATGCAATAGAATTAAAACAAGGTTCAGATATTTGTCCATTTTTTTAAAACTATAACAAGACATCAACAATAAAAGCTTTTGTAATATATAAATAAAAGTTTTTTTGGGGGGTATAATGGGCCTTTAATGTATTCTTGCATGCGTATTTTTATACTAGAATCACTGTTTGTAAGTGACTTATATAGACAAATCCAACCTCTGCTTAGCGACATCCTTTGGGGACAAAACCTCTGCTTAGGAGACAAAACCTCTGCTTAGAAACACTCTTTATGAGACAAAACCTCTGCTTAGGAACACTCTTTATGAGACAAAGCCTCTGCTTAGGAACACTCTTTATGAGACAAAACCTCTGCTTAGGAACACTCTTTATGAGACAAAGCCTCTGCTTAGGAACACTCTTTATGAGACAAAGCCTCTGCTTAGGAACACTCTTTATGAGACAAAACCTCTGCTTAGGAACACTCTTTATGAGACAAAACCTCTGCTTAGGAACACTCTTTATCAGACAAAGCCTCTGCTAAGGAACGCTCTTTATGAGACAAAACCTCTGCTTAGGAACACTCTTTATGAGACAAAATCTCTGCTTAGCAACACTCTTTATGAGACAAAACCTCTGCTTAGGAACACTCTTTATGAGACAAAACCTCTGCTTAGCAACACCATTTCGGATATAAAGATTTTGTTGTGGCTGAGAGGTATTGCTCTACAGAGGTTGGATTTATTTTTCAAGTCTTAATTTGTTTTGAAAAAAAATGATAATGTTGTTGTCGAAACGTTATTGCTCTACAAAGGAACGTTCTGAAGAGGTTTCATTAAACACTGTGCATTTATAACAATACTGTTGTCAACTTGATACAATAATATTTCATTCATTCATTTCTCATTTTAAACAGTTTATATGTCAAGTCACGCTTAGATGTAAAGATAAAAATGAATATATTAAAAATATTTATGCAGTCAACTTGACATAAATCTATAAATCGGCCGCTAAAACATTGACGAATAAAACGATGTCGTCACCAACGTCATCTCATCTCCGCCAATAAGTCAACCAAATACTCATCGTCGCTAACAAGTCAACAAAATACGTGTTTAATCAAATTTACGCATAATTATATTATCCTTTTAGTACTAGTGAATTTTGTTTTTTTCCCAAATAGACGTTATTGACATTAAAATTTTATTGTGGTGTTAGACAGGGAACCTGCCTGCGTCACCTTTCATTTATCGTAATTAACACGCAACAACAAAACGTTATTAAACTAGCAGAAACAGTGACATTACTATCTGAATGACATAAACGTGTTTAAAATTGATTTAAAAAGATACGTTGTGGTATTTGTATTTCTTTCTTGTAGTTTTATTTGACTTTCATGGCTAATTAATGTTGTTTGACTACATTCTTTGTATAAGGTCAAATGTATACAACAAGTCCGCAAAACATTGTGAATCATCAGTGCAAGATGGTTTTCAACTTTTGTTTCTTTGGATATTCCTGCATAAGTTTATGTTTTGTAGACGATAATTCAACGTTATTATGTCCGTGTTAAAAGAAGAAATGCAAGACAAAATGCAAAATAGGCAAACAAAATCATCTTTGTTTTTAAAATAGATTATGACGCAGTGATTACCGATATATCAAGCAAGCAGGAACTTTTCATATGCAAGTTTTACAATTTTTACTTCACCCGTTGGTCTCCACCGAAAAAGAAATCGAATTTACAATTTAACATTCAAAAAAGGTAACACTTGGTGTTGTTTCGCATGTCCTTTTTATCGAAACAGACAGCAAAGTATGTTATTAAAGCAAGAAATCATGGATTCTTTTCAAAAGTGTATGTATAAAACGTTGTGCCCCCTTATTTTCTATACTGACCATTATAAGAACAAGCAATTAAAATAACCATTAAAGGAACACATCTGATGTGAAATACCTAAAATATTAAATTTTGAAATTCGTGCATAGATCATGTGATGATCTTTAAATGAAAAAAAAAACTGAAGAAAGTAATTAATAAAGGTACTCGGAGTTCAATTGATAAAACTTTAGTTTAATTTTTAGCCCGGTTTAAGTAAAATGTGTTGTAACGCTTGTCATTTCATGTTTATTTTGCACAATAAAAGAAATTATTCTGAAACGACGGAGTGGAGGGAATTAAATTTTGCACACAAGTTATTAGTCCAGACCTTTATCAAATGACACACAAGTCTCGAAAAAAAATATTTCCAGTCCCTTTATGTCTCATAATTCTTCAGTGGAGTCCCTTTAAAGTAAAGATGTATGTATAATTAATGTTTTGCAATGTGCGCGCATGCGTCGTTATAATTTTAATGTACCTATACTACTTTTCGGACACTATTAAGATATACCTCTGAGTGGAAATTGTTTGTAGGTGTGATGGTGCACATTATATGAATAATGGTTGTATGAGAAACACAAATATGTAAACAGGTGAATGGCCGGTCAAGTTGATTGACGTGTACTCCGTTTAGACGGTAAAAGCATTGCAATAAATGCAGTGAATGCATAATTCGTAGATCATTAAGGGGCAGCGGACTGTCAGTTATATGCATCTTCTACTCATCTACTAAACCTTAAGAAATATTGTCTGTAATGGACATATTGCAAGATATAATCGTATTGTTCTCGTTTGTGACCACCTTCGTGTTGATAATCCATAGAAATAAAAATGTTTTAAATTGGAATGAGAGAAAGAGCGGTGTGTGTGTGTGTGCGGGGGACTCTTATTTTTATACATTTTTGTCCTTTTACTGAAGCCGGATAGATCGCTTAAGAGGAGTCATTTGTCCATCACTGTCCTTAATGTTGATATCCGAACATCGCAGACTATTTTTATAAGAAGGCTACCTTGCTTGGCACGTGATTTAAGGGTCAATGGTCAGATATTATAAAGATTCTTTTTCAACTCAGACCCAGATTGGCACTGAATGTACACTGCCTAATAAAATCTTGAGATTTATTATTATAATTATGATTATAGTCATGTTGATATAGTTGTTGATCTTGTTGTTATTGATGATGATGATGATGATGATGATGATAATAACGATGATGATGATAATGATGATGATATTGAATAATGATGATAATGATTATGATAATGAAGAACATGCAAATGGTGATGATGATGATGATAATAATAATGATAATGATGATGATAATGTCGATTATGCTAATGATGATGATGATGATGATAATAATAATGATGATTATAATAATGATGAAAATGATGATATTGGTCATGATTATGCTCATGATGATGATGATGATGACGACGATGATGATTAGGTGGTGATTTTGAAGTTATTGTAATAAGAATAATTGAAATATTAATAAAGATTATAATTAAACTTTACCGTGAGTTTAAATTGACGTAAATAGACATTCAAATACATTTATCATGACCAATCAATATTTATATCATAATTTGATATATTTCAGCTAACGACTGGGGCAAATGTGCTGATGGTACCGCCCGGCTCGGATGTGGCCCACAAGAAGAGTACTACAACTGCGCCGACTTGAGTATCGAACCTGCAGTCGACTTTTCCGTAGGCGATATGATCTCCCCTATTAATTTTGAAGTAGGTTACCCAACGTACGATTCCAAGAGTATCGCAGCTGATACATCGATATCATTTTTACCCGAGGAGGCACTGAGATCAGGAAACATTGGTCCGGTTTTACCTAAGTTCGATTTCTATGACCCTTCAGCTACTAGCAAGCCAGCGCAAACAACTACAAATGAAATAAAGGCAAAGGATAGCACAATTGCACAGACTGCAGAAGTAAAAACTAGTAAAAATGTTGTAGAACTTAAGTTTAATGGAAATAAAGATAACGCTAATACTGTTGCAAATACGGTATCTCAAACTGAAGGTGCTCATAACGCCGTTACATATGAAAGCGTTGGGAACGCAGGTACATCTGAAAATACCAACGTAGCTGTGTCAGGTATTGTAACCACAGAAATGCAACCCTCCAAACCCACACCAACTCAAGACTCCACAGTTCTGGCCTCCACTCAACCCGAGGCAATTGTCTCAACATCAACTCAGCCAGAAAAGATAGTTTCAACTTCTTCTCAACCAGAGAAAATAATATCAACTTCCACACAAGCGGAGACAACTGTATCAGAAACTGCCCCTCAAACATCAACCAGTGTTTCAAACAATGAAGTACAGTCAACAGAAGCAGTGAAAATCAACAGAGGTGGTATTGCAATTCCAACCTTTGGTAAGTACAAACAAACTACCTCTAAAGTATGACTCTTTTAACCCCTTCATCAGGGGCGTCGGTGGCCGAACGGTTAAGGTCTTTGACTTTTGATCACTTGTCTCTCACCGGTGTGTGTACGAATCTGGAACTTAGGACTTTTTCATTTAAGGAGGCTATCCAGCTAGCTTTTTGTAGGTTGTTGGTTCTATTAAGATGCCCGTTTACGCCAAACAACCTAAAAAGTCGCTATATGACATTCTAAGCTAGTATCGCTGAGACTTTACAGTTAACACCCAACAAACAAACCATCACACATACCTCGCCTTAAAAAATCAATTATATGCTAAAATAAAGAAGAAGTAGAAGTAAAACCGGTAAATTAATTAAAAGACTAGATTTTTAAAATAGCTTATAATGAAAAAAGGGGAGGTAATTAGAACTAGAAGTTATCTATTGTTAAATCGCCTGGCTATATACAATCAAACCTGCATAAAGACCATCTCCAAATAAAGACCACTCTTTGACAAACCTTCTTTGAAAAAAATACAACAAAGCCAACTCCGAATAAAGACCACCTGTATTTAAAGGGCATGCACGGGTTTCTCCTTTGGCTGCCCTTTATTTGCAGTTTTGACTGTACTATGGTACTATATGAAACATTTGTATTGCTATCAGTGATTTACAATGGTTTCACTTTAAAAGCATTTTCTAGCAATAACCGATTTACAATGGTTCTAATCAACTTTTTTTTTGCTTTTATTAGTGGTAACAGTGTACCTATGGTTCTTTTGAAAAGTTTTACAGCTATCGACTCTTTACAGCTGTCACGGATCTACATTAGTTTTATTTATATCTTATTCACAGCTTCTGCCAATTTACAATGGTTATAATTAAATAGTATAAGATTTCTTACAGTTGTTAGCGATTTTCAGCTCTCACGAATCTACAATAGTTTCATTTATATCTTATTTACAATTGCTGCCAATTTACAATTGTTATAATGAGATAGTATAAGATTTTTTACAGCTGTTGCGGATCTCCAATAGTTTTATTTAAAACGTATTTTACAGCTGGTGCCAATTTACAATGCTTATAATGAAATAGTATAAGGTTTTTACAGCTGCCGCGGATCTACAATAGTTTTATTTAAAACGTATTTTACAGCTGTTGCCAATTTACAATGGTTTTATTTATATTTTATAACCATTTTTACAGTTATCAGCGATTTATCAAGCGGTGGAATGCTTGTGAAGGTCGGTATGGGAGCAACATCAGCAAAGCCAACAAAAGAAACTCCTGTGTCAGCAAGCACTGAACAAACTTCATCTGGTATGTATTTATTCTACAGAGAAATGATATAAAGATCCGATAATTTGACTCTAGTTACATCCCTTTCTTTTGTTTTCACTGGAAAGGAGAATAATATTGTAATTGTTAATCAAGTCAGATTAGCATACATATAAAAAATAACACAGGTAAGAGCTAGGTACAGTCTCATATTTGTGTAATAGGATGATTATATCCCATAGCTTGGCTTATCACTAGATAAATGTATTTAGTGGAGATTTTGAAGAACATGTGTAATTTGATTACAATTTGTTTTTCATAGTTTCCTCTGAAGCACCTTCATCGACCATAGTTGTAGAAGCTGCAACGCCCACAGAGCAAGCGTCTGTCAGCACCGATCAATCATCTGTCGGCACAGCCACGGAGCAAGCGTCTGTCAACATCGATCAATCAGCTGTCAGCACGCCAACAGAACAAGCGCCTGTCATCACTGAACAATCATCTGTTGGCACGGTGGCCACAGAACAAACGTCTGCCAGTACAGAACAGCAGACGACAACTGTTGTTGACCAAACGACAACTGGGAGTCAAGCTACAACAACAACACACGAGCATCCGCCACCAATTCCATCTATACTTAGGGCAACAAGGTATGTTCAATCAGGTTTTTCAATGATCACCATGAAATAAAAATAAACCAAATGTGACATTTAACAATTCGCAACTTTTCAACTGACATGCTCTAACTAAATGTGAATTTTTTATTTAAATTCAATCAAAACAAACTGATAAAAAAACAATTAATAAGACTTCTTTACATAGATATATTCTTTTATTCTTTTCAGAGTGGATGCAAAAATCCCTGCTGAACGACCACTAGGGCGACTTCGCCGCCGTCGTCGTCGACAAGCCAAACCTCCACCGCCGCCACCACCCCCTCCAGCTGGAGCAGATCCAGGTGTGCCAAGCCCGCCACCAGAGCCGTCACAGCCACAAACTATGACGTTTGGAGGATTGATCGGGGACTCTTTCAGTCGTGGGGCAACTAAAACACAACATACATTCATGACTCAGCAAGATTTCCAGCAAAGTCTTGGTATTTATCTGATTTGATAAATTTGCCGTAAAGTTTATTGTTACTGCTTTTAAGGCCCATTAATTAAGGCTAAAAATGATATATTTTCTAAAATAGTTTTTATTTTTTGGTGCCCAGTAACAGTTTCGAAAATGTTGTCAATTGGTTATTTAGATGAACAATCTTTTACTTGCATGTTGGCAATCCGGACAGTTACAAACTCATTATTTTCATATTCAGCCTTTTTTAATCAGGAGATGAACTTAATACGCTCTAAATCCATCTTTGTAACATAATAAACACTATTCTCTCCTTTCTACAAAAGGAACAGTTAATTTATGGGGCTTGATATGCCTCATGTTTATGACACCACACAAAATACGCTTACATTTAGAAGGTAAAAATGTTATTTCAAATCTCCATGTTTTACAAGTCTGCAATGCTATGATTTTGATATTATATAAAAGAATATAAATTGTTCGTGAAATAAATTTGTCCACTTATTTCAAAGATGTTGCTGGTGGACAGACCAACCCGATGGCAAACGAAGCTTTGGGCGAATCATCAATGACTTCTAGCTCCAGTTCCGGTTCTCAATCATCAAACGCCGCTTCTATCGCCGTAGATATGCAAGGGTATCCGCCGGATATGATGCTGGCTCCAGGTCCGATGGAAATGGGTACCAGCTCAATGCAGGGCATGGGAACTCAAAATATTAACCAAGGTATTTGATGAGACTTGAGAGCGTCCATGTAAACATTTGTATTTAGCATAAACATGTTAATATTTCTTTCTCAGTCCTGTAAGCAACTAAGGTATCCGATAGCTTCTGAGTAATATCCCGTTCATAAAAATTAGTAAGGATTTCAGTTTTTAACAAAAGATTATGAACGGGATATTACATGTAATCTATCGGATAGCTCAATTGCTCATATTTTGTAAAAAAAACTTACAAGGTATTCTTTAACAGAGAGTTTGCGATAAAAATGTAACGTTTTTAGTAAGTTTGTCAGGGTACACGGCCGCAACAATACATAAACGTATATTCCACAAACATGTCAAAGCAATTGTCAATGAGAGAAATATTTATGTTTAATTTACAGGAACAATTCTGGAGTCAATGTATGCCGAACCGTCATCTGTACCGATAGGGGGCGCTATTCAACCTCTGGATGCTCCAGTAGACGCAAGTCCGTCGGCCTTCATAAATCCAGGAATTCCTAGACCGCCAAAACAGTCAAACGCTGAACTGGAAATGGCCATAAGTGGTATGTTAAGATTTTTCGAAAGGAAATTTATTAATTTGTTTGATCCTGTGTTGAATTAAACTATTTTTAAATACATGTTAACTTTACCATTGTAATATGAACTATTTTAGGTGCCCCTGTTCTGACTGTATCACTTTAACTATCTAAAATACATGTTTACTTTACCATTGCAGCATGAACTATTTCAGGTGCCCCTGTGCTGACTTTATCACTTTAACTATCTAAAAAATGTTTGCTTTATCATTGTAGTATGAACTATTTCAGGTGCCCCTGTGCTGACTTTATTACTTTAACTATCTAAAACATGTTTGTTTTATCATTGTAGTGTGAACTATTTCAAGTGCCCCTGTGATGACTTTATCACTTTAACTAACTAAAATAAATGTTTGTTTTATCATTGTAATATGAACTATTTCAGGACTTTAGTTATCTTTTTCACCATTGTAGTATGAACTATTTCAGGTGCCCCTGTGCTGACGTCAGCTATCTCAGATACAAGTCTAAGCCTGAATCCTGCAGATATTGTAGGTGCTAGCTATATTCCGGGTATGTCAACATTTCCTGTTTTACGGTTAAAGCATTGTTAACATACATGAAAATCAAACTCATTTATAATTAACTTTTGATATTAATAATGGAGCATTCAGTCAATCCTTAGGTGATCATGCTTGATTTTGTTCTTATTTCGCCAGACATTTATCGATGTTGTTCAAATCCTACCCGTGTTGTTTATGACTCCTCATACCTGTATAATACTTGGGGACCATACGGCGCTTTTCATGGAATGACACTACTGTGTCATATTGAAGGTTCCATGATGACCGCCGAATGAACACATCTGCGGATGTTTCTAAATTCAAAATTTCACCATTTTTGTGTTTAATGTTGAATTCTGCTTAAACAGGTGCTATGGGACGTGGACGGGAACTTGCACTTTCCAGTACCGTTCATGAACAGGCTCAATCAAACCGAGCCTGGAACATTTTCAATTTTGTCGTGTTGGACTTTTTTTAGGGGTACTGTTTTTCTCAATTCTATTACATTGTATACAGTTGACGTAAGGATATAAATAATGTCCGTGAACTTGTGTATTTTTTTCGTTTAGAACTGAGTGAAGGACAATCCAATCAGGCCGAGACTTCCACTGCTGCTAGGCATGGTACAATGATCATTCCAGTGCAGTCTGGTCCTAAAAGAGGAGGCACACAAATGGAATACCTTTCTGACTTTACCAGAGGTAAATTTACCTTTATAGGTATAATCTGTGTCCACTAATGAAATGTGTGTATTGTATTCCAAAGGATATTCTGTAGAACAACTGATAGTTACAAAGTTTTAATTTAAAAGGTATATTATAATTCATTCTATGGCCACTTATGAATTTTGCGGATTGTTCTTAGTATTACAAAGGATATTCTCTTTTGTTCACGCAAACACATCGAAAAGGACTTTTCAGTTGAAAATATAATAAATTTGTTGTTCTTGGAAAACAATCAGTTCTATAAATTTATTCGTGTACATGTACAATGTACTTAAAAGAATGTTTTTTTATAAACTTATGTTAGAATTAAGAAATCTGTAAAGTAAGGCATTTCTTTTTAATCCTTGTAGAACTACTGATGGTTACAAATTTTTCATTTCTTAGGTACATCTATGGGGGAGACAGCAGCTGATACCCAGGCTGAGATACGCAGTGCCACAATGAGTCTAGCACGATTTGGCTACCAGCCAACAGCAGAGCAAGTGCTGTCGGGAAATATTGGCATCCACCATCCAACAGAAAACCTTGACACTACAAACCTTGAACCAATCGGGCCATCGCCCACTGATACGTCCAGCGCGGTACCCGGTATCCTCAGTACCATACTCGGTAATTAATTAGCAATAAGCTTTTTTGATACTAGTCTTGTGCATAAACACCTATGAGAGTTTATACAAATATTGTATTGATACGAATAAAACACTTATAAAATATTTGAATATAGATAACATCAAATATAACAAAATATTATTGTTGTTATTCTATTTTTTTCAAGACTTCTGTAAACCTAAACGATAATAGCAAATTACCATTTCATTTATTCAGGCGGCGGACAAGGAAAAGTTACTGATGCATCATTAGATCCCGCAGTAAAGAAAACAAGAGAAGAGCTAATCAGACAACTTGGTGAAGCTATGGGAGTAATTGGTTCCGGTAAAAGCTCACAAACAAGCAGTTCGTCTTCATCATCCTCTTCTCCTTCAAGTGTGTCATTTACATCAGGATCAAGTTTGTCTGGAAGCAATGCACAACAAGCTATAGTTAATACAAATCAAGCCATCGTCGACCCAAGCATGAGCCAGTCTGTAGGTGTAATGGACCGTGGATTGATGCTGGATGCAGGTTTGACAGATACCAGTCAGACTAATCAAGAAATTGTAGGCATGACAGGAATGAATGTACCAAATATGGAGATGCGTGGCATGTTTGGCAATATTGTTGACGCATCAAGTCAAACATCACAACAAAGCATCGTAAATAAAGGTTCTGAAAGGGATATGTTAGCTACCTTGATGGACGCAACTAGTCAGGCTTCCATGCAACAAGGAACAGGAACTGTTACACAAGGGAGAGGTACAAATACACAAACTGTTATTGATACAGGTTCTCAAATGGAAAGCAATATGTTTGGAACTGCGATAGAATCTGGTATATCTCAGACTGGCGTTGATCCTAGTCTTCAACACATGTTAGATTCATTGACTGATCCAAATCTAGGTCTCTCTTCACAGCAGAATGTGGTATCACCTGGTGCACAACAAAACATGTTAGACACATCCGATAAAGCATTAATGCAGACGCAAACCCAAAGAACGAAACAAGGCATGCTTGATTCATCTGTTAATTCAGCAATGCAATCCCAGCAAACTGCCTCACAACAAAACACTGTAGACATTTCTGGATCATCAGTGCAAAGTCAGCAGACTGTAGCTGACTCTTCGTCTTTGTTAGATTTATTAGGCTCTTCCTCTGGTACATCAAGCACTAATTCTAGAATTGTACAGGATACTCGACAACCACAAAGTGCAATGGACTTTGTAGATATGGGAATGGGTGGTATGACAATTGAAGAAATGATGGCAATTTTAAACATGGAGCAACATGGCGCATCTCAAACTAACCAAGGATCCTCCCAATCTTTGACTAGCACAATGACAGGAACGACTGGAAGTTCCAATACTGAGTTAAACGCGCTTATGTCTGATTTAACTGGTGCATCAACCGAACCTCAAGGTCAACGACCTGGAATGTCTCAAACACAGTCAAGCTCCACATCTTCGCAAACATCTCAATTGGATTTGTCTAGTTTGTCAAACACTGGATCTTCATCGGCAAATTCTCAAATGACTGACACACAGGTATATGATACATTCCAAAATAGCGCAAATATAGTCGACACATCAAACACAGCAATTATGCCTGATATGCATATGTTGGATGGTTCTCAGACTTCGTCTAGTTCACAACCATCAATTTCAGATCCACTTCTACTAGGAACAAATTCTCCAAATGTTATGACATATGACTCTCTAGGAAACAATCAAGCAACTAGCTTCGATCAAACACTTGGAAGTCTTAATCTAGCAGCCATTGATACTATGTTGTTGGAAACTACAAACGCAGGTGGACCAACTGTACAAAAGATAGATAGGCCCTCAACTGGTGGGGCGTCATCAACATCATCTGGCACAACAACTTTTGATTTGACGTCATCTGCTTTAGATACATCATCCACAGGTACAACAACACTCGATTTAACATCATCGACAACAAATACAGCAGGCGCAGATACTACATCGATTGACTTAGCATCGTTGGCTACAGATGCAGCATCATCAGGCACAGCAAACCTTGATTTAACATCACAGCCTTATGATACTTTAGGATTAACATCTGGAAGTTCTTCCATTACAGATGTCGGTGCAACTTCATTCACAGGGTCGACTTTAGATTCAGCAAGCTCACAACAGTTTATAGACACACAAACTGGGGCACAATTTGTTGATTTGACACCTACACCCGCAGATCCATTTGATTTCTCTACAATGACTCAAGCTGAAATGGAACAAATGATTCAAATGTACGGTGGTATGGAAGCATTACAGCCATACCTTAATGAACCAAGTCCTGACCCAACGGGTGCATCCACCACATCAGTTTCAACAGGATCAACAACAGCTACCGCCACTACCTCAACAGTTGTAGACACAACTGCAACAACAAATCTGCCACAGACTGCCGCTGAAACATCAGCAGTAGACGTGAGTTCTGCAAGAACTACCAGTGCTCCTATAAATGCAGATAGCGCTGATATCACACACATTCAACAATATCTTAATCCCGCACTTTTTGATACCACAGCAACTGGAGCATCGTCATCCCAATCGACAACCTCAACTTCAACAAACCTTCAAGCAGAATCTGATCTGAATGCTATAATGAACGCTATAAATCCATCAGGTGCACCATTAGATCCAAATGACACTATCAGTTTAGCTGATCTTCTTGCTGGCAGGTTCACGCCTGGTTCAACTGCAGCTGCCAACACTCAATCTACATCATACGACACACAACCAGCGCAAGCATCAGATATTGCTCAAGTATCAATAAACGCTGTTCAAGGTTCGCAAGCAGAGTCTTCTCAAACTGGAGCTAGTTTTACACCACTTGGACAAATTGGTTCCGGTTCAGATTTTGCCTGGGCTGAAGCATCTTCACAGCCTACAGAACAACCTAATTACATATGGGACCCTGTTCAAATGCAATGGGTTGTGTCATCGTCTGCTGAAGCTACATCGACTTCTATAGACCAAACATCTTCACAAACCTCAGCGGTGGATCATTCAGCCTCGCCCGTGTCCCAAACATTAGTTGATAATCAAGTTTTCCAACAGCCACATGGAGTTTCTCAATCTGGCCAACAAATTGTTGTCACCTCTGGTTCCGAAACATCAGCATCAGGCATGACACAAACGGATGCGTCACTTACATCTCAAGTGGACCAACCTTTAGTTTCTTCTCAGGTAGACACGTCTATGCCCCAGATAGATTTAGCTCTGCCTTCAACGGTGGACACATCTCTTTCATCCCAGACTGATACATCTTCACAGGTCGACAAAACTGTGACAACCCAAATTGATGTCCTGTTACCTGCACAGATTGATACATCCCTTTCCGGTCAAATTGATGCTTCATTACTGTCCCAAGTTGACAAATCACTTTCTTCTCAGGTTGATAAATCTCTTTCAACACAGATCGGAGGTTCGTCAAATGTTAATCAAGGTACTGTAGATACTTCCTTATTTGGCTCACAGATCTTGGGAAATGTTGATACAACGTCAACATCTTCATCAGGAAATGACATTACAATGTTCCAGTCATCGTCGCTTTTTGACAGCACAGGTTCAACTTCCTCAACATCAGCAGCTGACACTACACAAACTTTTACCACTTCTTCGACAATGACCGAAAGGACATCATCAAATCAAACTGTAGCAGACTCTTCAGCATATGGTTTACTAACAACAGGAGCTGTTGACCCGTCTTTAAACACTGGTATTGTAGATGTCACATCTGGTGGAGCCAGCCAAAGTATCATAAAAAAAGATATTGGCACGGCCAATCTTTCTGATATAATTCCAATAGGTCAGCAGACACTTATGACCGAAAAGGCGTCTCCATCAACCCTCAATGTAGATAGGTCACCTACTGTGTCAACAGCAGGATCTGACAAAGTTATAATAGATTATGCAACAACATTATCTCCTATCGTTAAAACACCCCCAGCACCAACAGTTCTACCTTCGGCAAGAGAACAGTATTTGTTAATGGAAGAAAGGAAAAAGCAACAAGAACTACAACTTTTATTGGAACAGCAACGAAATGAAATCAGGCGAATGGAACAGATGCGAAGGGAACAACAAGAAAAAATGGCATTAGAAAAACAGAGAATGGCGTACGAAAAACAGCAGCTCGCTTTATCAAGACAGCAAATGGAGTTAGAGCTTTTACGCCAAGAGCAGGCCGCTCAGCGAAAGGTCATTCAGGAGCAAAAGGGTCGTTTAGAAGCAGAAAGGTTACGAATAGAGCAACAAAGACTCAAAGAAATAGAATTGATTAAGCAACAAGCTATAGAATCAGAGAGAAAAAGAATTTATATGGAACAACAGAAACAAAGAGAAATTGAACTGGCTAGAAAGGAAGCAGCGGAAGCGGAAAGACTACGCCTTGAAGCAATCAGGAAAAAAGAAGCTGCCGAAGCCGCAGAAAGAGAAAGAATACGCGTTGCCGCTGAAAAAAGACGTCTTGCATTAGCTGCTGAACATGAAAGAATACGAATAGCTAGAGTCAAAGCAGAAGCTGAAGCAAGAGCAAGAGTTCTAGCTGAAGCAAAGGCAAAGGCAGAAGCTCGTGCTAAAGCAGAAGCATTAGCAAGAGCCAAAGCAGAGGAGAGAGCGAGAGCTCTAGCTGAGGCACAAGCAAAGGCAGAAGCAGAAGCTGCAGCAAAAGCAGAAGCTGCGGCAGCAGCAGAAGCTGCAGCGGCAAATGCAACTTTAATGGCAAGTAGCGTCACCACAGAAACTAATGTTTCAATGTCATCAAACGAATCGTCTTTCACGCCAATAGGGTCAGTAGGTGGTACCGGAGCCGATGCCGATGCTGCAACATTGGCGGCATGGCAAGCAGTAGTGAGAGCTGCACATATAAATGCAGGGGGAAATGCTGTTGATACAAATGCGCTAATACAGCAACAACAACAGCAAATTCTTAATCCAAGTTGGATGGGTATGATTCCTGGTATGATTCCTGTGACACCGGCTCCACCCACAACACCAGCCCCTCCAACTGGAATGGGAGGCATTGATGCTGCAACACTTATGCAACTATTACAACTTCAGCAACAACAAAATAAACCATCCACACCGGCACCAACAACAACTGCTGCACCAACTACAACACCTAAACCAAAAAGGAAAGTTCCGATTAGACCTGATCCTAAGACAAGAGAATTTGTAAGAAATATGTTCATTGATAATATGGCACCTGGTGTAGACCCCTTATCTATTTTAATTGGCTTGACTCCTGAAATGTTGATGAAATCTGGCGTAAATCCTTTAATTGCTAATAGTGGCGATTTAGCTAGAATTGTTCCTGCAGTGGAAAGGGCTCTCGGAATTTCGTTAAAACCAATACCTGTACGTCCGGGGCCAGGAGGTAGACCAGGTGTAGCACCTGCATCGACTGGGTTTCAAACACTCAATATAAGAGGGCGCGGTGGGCCAGACACACCTGGGTCTTCCCGAAGAGAATTTATGCTTCAACAACGCATGATGAATGAAATGATGGGTATATTGGGACTTGGTCCTGAACCATTGGAACCTGGCGATCCCGGATATCAAGGACCAGGTGCTGGTAGAACAGGCGGAAGAGGTGCTGTTGGAGGTCCAATGGGAGGAATGGGCGGCGGTCCAATGGGTGGTAGAGGCCGACCGCTTGAAATGACTGATGCTCAGCAAATTGCTATGGAAAGACAAATGGGTCGTGGAGGTGGACCGCCATATAGCGGAGGAGGAGGAGGAGGTGGGCCATATAGCGGAGGAGGAGGAGGTGGGCCATATGATCCCCACTTTGGAGGTGGAGGAGGAGGATTTGGCGGAGGTGGTGCCGGTGCCGCTGGAATGGGTGGAATGGGTGGGCCTGGGGGAGGTCAAGGGACTTTAACTGCTCAAATGGAAATGCTTGGTTTATAGAAAATGACACTCTGAATGATATCGTGAACTATTGTAATAATACTTTTTTTTATAGAAAACATTGGTGAAAGTGCTACCAAGTATATTGTTAAATGATATCATTTAAAAATAAATCACTGTATTGAACCAGGTTTATGTGTTCACACTACGATGTGATACCGTTATGATTGTCATTATCTTATATCTAATTGTTCCCTTTCATTCGGAATTGTTCGGCAATTTTCGGCTGATTCCTTTGCTAAAATGACGGTAATGGAAAAATTCAGCTTTCGACATACGCATAATGCTTGAACAAAACTAATTTTGAAGTGTCAAAATATTAAAAAGACCCATACTGTAGGTGTTGTTAAAAAAGTTAAAAATACCAACTTATTTTTTTTACATGTTTAGGAACGTTTTAAGTGTTCCTTGTTTAACTTATATATAAATTTTCATATGATTTTACTACACTATTCCCTAGAGTAATTTTAACAGTCTTAACCACACTTAATATTACTACTGTATTCCCTAGAGTAATTTTAACACTTACCACGCTAAATGTCTAAAATATACTTGTCCATCTAATCCAGACAAAACCATTTATCATTTTGGTAATTTAAAAATAAGTACTGTTTGAATAGCAAACAGTGCAGGCCAGAATCCAATTGTCTTATTTAGACCTGCATTGTTCCCATTTATAAAATTGTTGCCAACTGTAGAGAATGTGTTAATTGCTTTAGGGCTGCATATTATTTGAATGTTCATGATTTGATAAAAGCTCTTAATTAGTTAAGTTTGCACATATCTATATAACGTAAAATTCGAAACAATAGTAACTACATAGTAGTGTTTTTTTCTCCTCTTTTTTTACATAACATTACTATCTTTTCAAGTACTATTATTATATTAAACTTGTGTTCTTTTTAAAGAGACTGTTAATAAAATTGGACAATGATTGGAGATGTTCTTAGAGATAAAAGTCAAAGTTAGTTTGGAGGTGTTATAAGAAAAGTAGAATACGCATGCGCGGGTTTTTAAGTAATGTCCTCGCACTATATATAGCGTGTTCATATGTTAATATCATTCATAGAAATTGTATCATAATAATTAAGAGGTTACCATGACAACAATGTTAACATCAGTCTAGTATTGTGACATTGTTAGCCTTACTTTATTCACAATTTATTGTTACTTCTTAGCGGTCTAATCACAGACATGTTAAAATTACACATATAAATTTTAAATAATTGTTTATATCAATATTTTTTGTGTTTTCGATTTTTACAAATATTAAAATCAGTCAAGTTACTTATATAGTTAGTGAAAAGAATTGGGCTAGAGCCATGTTTACGATTTACATGTATACTGGCCCTGTCACTAAGAGTATTTTAATAGTATTTTTTTTAATAAATTAGATACTATTTTCTATTATCTAGCTTTCATTACTTTTTTCTACCATATTGCTCCTATTTCATTTCTGTAGCATGTATACTATGATACATAAATGTATGTTTTCATGAAATTAAGACTGTGTTATATTTTCATGAAATACAAGACTGGTTATCTTTCATGAAATAAAATAGGGTGTGGTATTTTCATGAAATTAAAATTGATTTCAGTTTCATGAAAACCAGAGATTGTTGAAAATACAAGACTGGTTATAATTTCATGAAATAAAATCGGGTCTGGTACTTTCATGACATTAAAACTGTTTTCAATTTCATGAAAGCAAAATAAAATTATAGATTGGTCACATTTTCATGATATTACAGACTGGTTTTTGTTTCATGAAATTCAAGACTGGTTGCAGTTTCATGACCTGAAAACCAGAATGGTTTTCATTTCATAAAATTAGGCGGGTTTTGTATTTTCATTAAATTAAAACTGACTGTAAAATTACGTGCTGGAAGAAGACTGAATGTTACAAGTCACGTGATGCTGTTTATTGTTCATGGTTTGCCGAAATGTTTAATAAAAAATAAAAATATTAACTGTATTTTATTTCATTTATATCAAAAATTATAATAGTTTCTGCAGTGCAGTTTTGACATCTAAATATAGAAAAGACATCCATGTATTACGACGTGAACTGTAACGCACGTGTAAAGTGAACTTGCTGGGTGTAACACCGTAAAACCCGTCCTTGTACGGATCTAAATGTTACAGGGAGGGAGTTGGCTTACTGATTAAGGTGTCCGGCTCTCAGCCATAGGGTCATATGTCACAGGCATACTTGGTTAACGGCTTTTGCTTGTTTCCTCATATTGCACTATTACTGGTTAGTTCCAGAGAAAAGAATCGATGATATGTTGAGCCATCATCTGTCTTCAAAAAAGAGTAAGATTAAACTGATCAAAGTTTTATATTTATCCATGCCCGATACTAAATATCTCAAAAGGCATGGTCAATCTTTCAATGTTGACGAAACCACTTGTAATTGTAGGAAATATTTAAATATATGTACTGACGTTAAAGCGATACGAAGCGCTCAAACATGTTGATGCTGTTACCGCTAGCAGGATAATAGGTAAAAAGAAATGAAGCTCAGTTTAAGGAAATACTTTGTATATATATTTATATCGGTCAACGCCGGGTAAGAATACATGTAAACTAAAAGTATGTTTGAAGTCCAAATCAGATTAAGGTAGAACGCGACGCCACCGGCTAACACATTATCTTAAATTCTACTGCATTATTTTTTTCCTTTATGTTTATATAAAATTTATCGTTTTACGCCGAAATATGCTTGAAAAATTGAAAGAAAATTATAAGTTTTGTGTAGAATTAAAGATATTTTGTCCGCCTATGTAGTTATGATACCCGCAACAATCGCAAATTATTATCAACGACGTCATGTTCCAAAACGGTCTTTGGTGGTCAACTTTGACGTAATGTGTACAAAAAGTGGGTGATATTATTGGAGTAAAATCAAAGGAATCTAATCTGAAATATAGTCAACTTTTGACATGCCAATTTTCAGGACACTACTCGAATGTTCGCAAAGTGTCGCGTTCTTCCTTAAATAAATTCATGGTCATATTAATTATCACAAACATAATAAAAAATATGGCTATAGCAGTGCAGTATCCGCCATACGCCAATGCCCTCCGTAAAGAATAGTCCCAAATTACGTCACATCCGGTAGGGGAGGTAATTCTTCCTGGAAGATAATCGCCTAGTTAAAATGGACTATAGTTAAACCTTAACTTGTAATTAAAGCGGTTTATAGTTTGCTTTATTATCATCAACACATCGGGCAGCAAAATCAACTATCTCAATGGTATCTTACAAAATGATACACGATTCTATTATAAACGGGTGAAAAAAAATCGTTAAAAGTCAAAAGTCAAATTAACATAATCATTTATTTATTTATATGTCAAAAACTCGTTTGAGACAGTTGATATGTAAAAAAAGTTTTACAACAATATCAATGAACAAAATATATTACATTTGATATGCATGTCATAAAAATGAATTTAATGTGAAAACCAATGTAAATTCAGGCCAACGATTATTCAAACACAAAGAACAGCTGCCAAATCAAACAAAAAATCTCCATTTCATGTAACTTTATGGACTGTATCTCTCAGTGGAAAGTTAGTCAATAAGATAAATCCTTTCACCGTGTTTGATTTACATCACATGCCAGAGACCGTAATTTTAATATTTCAGATCCCGTGTCAATTTTTCTCTATATTTTAGCATTGCTTCAAAAAAATGTGTCACCTTGTATGATTTTTCCTGTATTGCTTTTAATTCAGGTGGTGTTTTTTTTTGGTGTTAATCACACTTTTCATTATATTATTGTGTTGCTCGCGATACTGACAAGTTAGAAATTACATGTCAAATTTCATGTTTTTATGCATTGCTCCGAATACGGAATAACTTAAACTCTCCGACGTTTGCGTTCCTCTGGTAGTGTCGATTTTACGACAGATGTCGTGACATCCTCTGAAATGTTTAAACGTAACTTTGCGGTGTCTGTGACCCGCTTGTTGTGTCAGTGTCGCTTCGTATACCGTGTGGATAGCTTTTACCATAATCAGACCTGCAATAGTGGATAGACAGAATTCATATAATTTTAATCAATAATGATTTAATTATGAATCTGTATTGAAGGTTTATTTTTGAAGAATCATTGAATGTTGTTATTTTGCAGTCTTAAATATGGAACGAAACTATTTAGAACATTTAGAAACACACGCTGAAAACCTCAAACCACATTGAGTTTTCTTAAAAGTCTAAATTTTGAAGGCGTTTCTTGCATTGTCAAATGTAAAACATATATGATATAACAAAAAATAAAAAGAGAAGAAAAACAAGGAACGTGACTAGGGTAAAAAAATCATAAGTGCCGCTTCTTAGCGGCTGACTAGGGTTAAAAAAATCATAAGTGCCGCTTCTTAGCGGCTGACTAGGGTTAAAAAATCATAAGTGCCGCTCTTAAATACTAAAGGCACATTATGCCTCAGAAATGATTAAATTTTTACTTCTTTAAAAAGGGCAAACATGAACTTTAGAACGTTTTAATGAAAGTTTAAGAGCATGTTAGATGCTTTTTTTAAAAAAAGAAAGTAGCACTGGATGTGAAATTATTTGTCATATCATAAAGGTAGCAAAATGTAAACAAAGTAGTACTTTGACTTCCATACAAAATACTATATCACTATAACTGTATTAATTGCCAAAAAGATACAGGAAAAAAAGATGATTCATGTAACTTTCAAAAGACAATAAAATTTCACCAAATATAAAAAAAAACTGTTGGGAAATAAAAACAGAATGATTTTTAAGCATAATGGGCCTTTAATGCAGTGCATCTTCCTGTTATTGTATGCTTTAAAGATAAAACGACAGAGTCTTACCATGTCATACTTCTATCCTCTTCATCATCCTACAAAATATAGATATACTCATTATATACCGTATCATTTTCATTTAACGCCCCCCCCCCGACACCGTGCAATCATAAGAGTGTAACAATTATGCAACAACTGCATCAAAAATTGAAAAATATGTTTAAAACATGGCACACATTTTTACCATTTCAAAAACATTTTTAAAAAATGTTCTTACCGTTACAGACATGTTTTCCCAACGCATATTCAGTGGGCCGGATGTAAGTGCTGATCTTCTATCGTAGCGTTCACGAAACTCGGACTCAGTTATTGGTTTAGTTGCAATGGCGTCTTCTAGAGTAAACAATTGTTGTTTACCCCGTTTTCTCGGCTTTGGTTTGGGCTTATTAACTGGAAATCAAAAAATAACATATTTAGTTTATGCTAATTTATTTATGTTCAATTGTGTTGAAAGTAACACTCTCGAATCCGTTCCTGGAACTAACCAGTACTAAGCAATGAGTGTAAAGTTTCTTGCTCACAACCCCTGGCGGGGTTTGAATCTATACGACCAGATATTCTTAAGTGACTAATTCGCCGCGTTAACCAATCGACAACGCTGCCACGCCAAATATAACGTGTCTATCTATACATGTATAAATAGACAAAGAATGGTTAACATAATTATTGTTTTGAAATAACACTGAACGGTTTCACACGAAATACATACCGTATTTGATTGTTACTTCCAAAGTAAAGTAATGCCTACATCGTCATGACTAAATATATGTAAATCAATATTGTCTAAACACATCGTTTATAGAATCATAATGAATGAGAGGAAAAAAGGAAAGAAAACAGTAAATATTAAACATTTTCTTGTCCATGTCTAAATAGTTTAAATACGTCTTATACCCTAATGCGACTTATAATTACGGGACAAATGTTAATGAAACATGGCAAGCATCCATACTTACAGCTATGTCTTTCTCGCAACGCTCCATTGACATCAATAACAACACGGTTACCGGAATGGCCTGACGATGTTACTCCAATACCATCGTCCGTGTTGTCAGCAACCGGATGTTGCTGAAATCCACCCATCACTTCGCCGGTAGAGGTCGTTATCCTCTCACGGTAATTATCACTTGAAAATCTAAAGAAAAGAAGAAAACAATCTACAAAACGGCGAACACATGTGTAAGTTCTAGTTTTAACTTTACATTTATGATTTTCATGTAGATAAATCTACATGATATTTAATTTAGATAAATGTGATGAATAAGGTGAGCGGTGTCCTAGTGGTTAAGGTGTCTAACTCTCCACGGTCCCAGGGATCATGAGTTTGAGCCCTAATCGGGTCACGACCATGTTTTTATATGACACCAGTACTGGTTGGTTCCAGGATGCGGACTCGAAAGTGATTAATTTAAGTTGCAAGAACTTGTTTTGCATGGGAGCTTAAATAAATATGTATTAACCAAACGTGATGAATATGATCTTCATTTCAATAGGAATACACTCATTATGTTTGCTCGTTTGTATACTAAAAGTTTGGTCAAAGCTCGCAATAGGCACCGTTACGTACCGTGTCTGTTGCATGGAACGTAAATGACTCCTTAGTCTATGTTCTCTGAGTTCATCGAACGAGAACCCGTCATTTTCTAAATTAAGATGTATCTTTCTTCTGATGTCATTTCCGTATGGGAAAGAAACTTTGAAATTCGGGGATTCCTCAGCTTGATTGTCATTTCCGATGTCCCACCAATACGAAGCCGTGTCTGTGGTTGTGTCATTTGTGACGTCATCACTTGATGTTGTCTCCAGACTGGCTAACCCTAATTTAGAATACCAGTCAGAGGCACCGGAAGTCTCTGACGTAATAGAAGTAAATGTTGATGTATACATAGACCCTATGGAGCCTACACCGTCTGGAATCGAATCCCTGCTTTCAGCAGACGATACAGTGTGTTCGGACTCGTCCGAAGCTTTTTCTCTATTTCTCTCCCCTGCAATAAGCAGATCGATTCGTTCATCTAAAGATAACAATTTTGTGAAAGGTCTTTCAGTCGGATTTTCGTTTTCCTTATTGTCGTTCAGTAACTCCTCATTATCGTTTTCACCAGGCTTACACTCTACCAGTTGTTCAGTCAGTTTAGCACTAACTTTATTCACTTCCGGTTGTATACAATGTCCATTTACTATATCGTTTGACCTAGGTTCTGTTGGTTCTCTAAAATTAGAGGATTTGTCAAAATGTTTATCACTTTCTAACTCTCGTCTGCTAATATCTAAATGTCGTCTGCTAATATCATCTTTATCGTTGTCTGTATTAATAGACTCAACTTGTTTCTCACTTTTTAATTTTACGCTTTCGTGAAGTTGAACATCTAAAGTTCTTTCGGTATTTTTGTCTTTCCTATTGAAGCGTTCAGACAACGGGTTAGGTTGGGGTTTTATGACAGGTGGATTTATTTCAGGAGAGTTTTTATCTTCTCTGTTAGCTAATTTCTTTCGAGATTTCAGTTCGGTAATGTCGGGGGATTTCTTTCTCAGTTTCAAATATTTGTCGTACACAGCACCGGTTTCCCAATTCTCTAACATGTATTCTTTGTGGATATCGCGGATTAATGAGCTGCAAATTAATATATATGAATGTTAAATTAGACCAATCAAATAATGAAACAGTTCATTATGAATACTTTTACAATGTACTTATATCAAATCTCGCTTAAAATGATATTTTAAAGTACATTTAGTGATCAAAAGTGACAACCCGGGGATCACGGGTTTGATCCCTAATCGGGTCACGACCATGACACCAGTACTGATTGGTTCTAGGAAGCGGACTCGAAACTGATTAATATAAGTTGCAAGAACTTGTTTCGCAATCGAGCTTAAAGAAATATATTTAAACCTAAAGTGACATGGTGTCGTGTTTAAAAAAAAGAGAGAGAAAAATGTTTATATCTAAACAACAAAGATTTTGCTATAAATAGGTAGTAGATCTATAAAAGACTTGGCCCAGGTCAATACTAAATTTCAACATTATACATGTCTAAATCTATATTTAAATGCATTTACGGTTCACTAAATGTAATCTACATGCTAAAAATAGAATGTGATCTTGTCGAAAGAACTTGTCGAAATAAGGACACTGTAAACTGATGACTACCTCAATTTTGACGAATTCGCATCAATTCCTTCACCATTAATGACGTCGCCGCTCGGAAGAATAACGTCATCAATCGACGAAAACAATTTTTGAAGGGCATCATCCATGTCGGATAGGGGAGAGAACTCAAATGTATCCTCAAGACGCTCAATCTCGCCCCGGAGTTCTTCTAACTTGTCCCTACACAGTATAAAACAAATACTCAAATTGCTCGTTACGTCAACCTTCATTGGATTATGGTGACGTCTGTATAACCTATATACGCGTTTACATGCTGTAAATTCATGCAGCTATTTATCTTAAAAAAACCGTGCTGTAAAAATTATACTTCTTTGTAAACATTACATACATTTTTATTGTTTTTTATCAATATTTTAAATACTGATGGAAAACTTGCGAAATGTAGACCAATCCACTATAAGTAGGCACGGGCTTGTGAAACACTTATAATTCCGCATATTGTTCCGTAATAAAAACCAACAGATACGTACCTTGCTTCTTTTCGCTTCGCAGCGCTGTCCATGCTGGTGTGTTTTACAAATAATTGTAGATCTTCTTCAAGTTTGTTAAGCGTTTCGAGAATGCTTTCCTTATTTTCTGACAAGAGTAGACTGGTTTCCGAACACATATCACCATAACGTTTGAGACACAGTCTAACGTGTTCTAAACTTGGCTTCACGGAACACAACTGGTCGCTCAGTCTGCAAATTTTAAACAATAACAATAACAATGATAAATTTATCACAAGTGTTTGTAAATGTCATAAAACGTCACTATATCATATATATAATTATACAGAATTGGTACATTTTTGAAGAACCTAAAAAATTTTTTTTTAATTTTATTGATTATTTATTTTTTGCAAATTTCAGAAACTTTCAGATTCACGAAACGTTTTCTTTTATCTATAAAAAAATCCAAGAAAAATATTGGTCATACTATTACTTAAATTGACGATCCATATAGAAATTATTGTCCAAAATTAAATTGTGGTGTACAGGCTATATAATAAGCTTTGCAAACATGATGCACTATTTGTATTTAAACATATATGAAAATAATATATATTTAAAGAGTTAGAGCTGCAAGCCTCCAGATGAGCCTAAACAATTCTTGACAGCAAATCAGCCTAGTATAAATTTTACGACATCCGGGTTGCTTAGCAACACAACTCTGTGCCACCGTGATCTTAATCGCAACTACTCGGCCCTTTCCGTCAGTCTTCGGATAAGATAATAGCCGAGGCAGTTCCGATTGCCGTGATCCTTGTAAGATTATACGAAAAGTAATGAATACGAAAGTAAAGAAATAATTCATTATGTTATATGCAATAAATTTCTACATAATTCAAGAAACAATCTTTTCGTTATGTGCGAATAATGGCCGATTTTGTAGTATTTATCACCATATTTCTACTGGTGACAAACACAGTGAACGTTTTTATAGCATATCTTCACACATTTATTGGCAATTTTCGTAGATTTTAAGTGTCATTATAATGTGTAAATTACTTTGACAATTTTTTACTATTTAATACAATTAAAGCTTTTGTGAAAATTAGAGTGAATCTGGAGGCATGCTGCTTTTATATATTCAAATGCTCTTAACAGTTACCTTGAATTCAGACTGATTGTGTCCCTTAAAGATGACCATAAGTCTTCGCAGACATTGAGAAGTAATAAATATTCAAAACAAGCATGGCTTCGGCTCTGATGTGCTACGTGAAGAGGGCGCTGTTGCATTAAATTTCCGGAAGTGACATCATATCCGGCTGCTACCAGAGCCTAAAAGGACAGAAACATATTTTTAGCCACAAAAAATATTGTCTGAAAGGAATTTTATTCAATATGAGATTTCTTGCAAACCTTCTCGAATTTCTCGTTGACTTTAGTTCAAATGGTATTATTTTCATTGGAAAAGAATAAAAATGCTTAAATTAAATTGTATATATTTAAAAAAAATTTAATACAAATAAGATTTTTTTTCAAAGAAAATAATGTTTATTGTTTTAGTACTAGAATGATAAAGGTTAGTTTGAAATTAGGTGAATACGAGCAATACCTGTAAACAATGGATATTGCCATGTCTCGCTGCAAGGTGCGCTGCTGTGTTTCCACGTGTGTCTCCTGGCAACGTGCACGCGCTTTGTGGATCACGTGACATGTAGGTTAGTAAAAGACTCAAACAATCGGCCTAAAATGTGAAAAATCAAGGTTTTGTTAACTTTTTTTCTACTTACGAAGTACATTTTTTTACACATATACTTTCTGTTTGAAACGGTTTGTCATAATTTCATACCACAACATCTCAGTTTCTTTTCTGGAACTTATAATGGGTATGGTAGATTTTTTTAAAAGTAAAATAAAAAAATTGCAGTAAGAAAGGGGGATATGATTTCACAAATACGAAGCACCATTTTTTCAAACTCAGCCCGGTTCCTTAAAGAAAATCAGGGCAATCATTTAATGCAAGCTCTGATTAGCGACCCCCTCTGTAGAGCTCTAAATTACAACATTGTAAGCTCTTTCCAAGACCTCCCAATAAATATATAACCTGTCTAGACCAAAAGCAGCTTGCATCAACAAATAAATATGTTGTCACTAACAGGGTGTTATTGTATAGGGGTTTTAATGTACCTGTCCAAATTGTGCACACACGTTCAGTAACCTGTTTACTAGAGATAGACTCAGGGACCTCCTTCTTTGGTTCCGCTCTAGGATCACCTTCAGACAATCATATTTACCAACCTGAAAATAATATGAAAAATTTAAAAACTACCATACTGGGTAACTAGTAATCTAAAAGATCGGTGTATAAGAAAGGGTACAGAGCCGAAGTATTTTTTGCAATACTTCACGAAGTCAGGAAATTCACTGAGGTTCAAAGAGTAAAAACATAAAATTTGAAAATATTACGAATATCAAGTGAAGCACTTTAAATGGGGGAATTTTACAAAAGATAAAGAAATATTAAGTCCAACTCAATTGAAAATCCCGAGTTTTTAGCCTATTTTAAGTGAAAAGCGTTGCTAAGGCTTACCCTTTTTGGTTCATGTTTCATAATAGAAATGGTTATTCAAGAATAAAAGTGGGAGATGAGCTGGAAGTTTACAGACAAGTTATTGGTCCAGACCTTAATCAATTGGTGCACAAATCTCGGAAAGATATTTTAGTCCCGTCATGTCAAACAAAAAAACCTCTAAAAAACAACTCAGTGACGTCCCTTTAAGAAATACTTTATATCTTCAACAAGAATCGTTGTGATACATGTATATGATTAGGTAACGTTTTTTCCATGCATGCACTATATTCAATAAAAATAAAGAAGAACAGCAGCCAATCTTCTCAAAACGAAGGGAAAAAAGCTGTTTGTTATACCTTTAAACTGACGTCACATATCACATGGTTTAATTCATTCCGTAAACTTTACTTTCACCATTGTTAAAAATCTTTAATTTATTTGATTAAATTAATGATATTTATTTTCAATTTCAAGATTTCAAATTATTTAATCATTCTAAGGCAAACCTTTGCAGCTATTTCTATCGCAGTTTCGTTCTCTACGTTCATCTCTGACGTCATTTCCGGAAACTTCTCCAGTATAAATTTTACGACATCCGGGTTGCCTAGCAACACAACTCTGTGAAGTAAGTTATTGCCATGGTGATCTCGTAGTTTGAAAACATCGCCTGGTTGCATATCCTCAATTTTCTGCATCTAAATAAAAGATAAAAACAGTATAATAGATTGCTGGTTATTGGAACCACTTATCGCTCAATATAGCAATATGTAATGGTAAAATGTTTAATATTGGCATCCAGTTCAGATACAAAAAATTGAGTAATGAAAAAAGAAAAAAAAAGAAAAAGAAACAAAGAAAACAAAAACGGGCACATTATCAAATCTGTATTCAAAAAGTAACCATTATCAAACATTTTAGCTTGCAGTATTTTGTATCAGAATGTAGTTTAAAAACCAAATTTGAAATGAAATAGATATTTAGTTTACAAATTAAAATGATGTATAGGAAACGGAACCGATAGGTTACAATCTTTAGACTGTTTTGTTAGCTTCGTAGGTACTTACTATATCCCCAGAATTTCCTGCCAAAATTTCAGAAAAAACTCCTTGCTCACTTGGGCTTGAATTTCTATTTTTAGAACTATTCATCTTGTATGTCCTTGACTGATGTTCCGGTAACGACCACGGTGCAGGGGTACTTTTCACCGGAACGGTTTGGTCCATCCCTTCCGAAAATGTCTCCGAAAACGATGTGATTTGCGAATCGGAAACGGAACAAGAATCCGTCCGAAAAACGTCATCACTTAAATTATTGGAACCATTCTGTTGACTGGCACTCGCGAATTCACTGGTAGTTTCGGACTCCGATTTATCACACTGGTCCGAGAAATTCACAACTTTCTTGCTTGTATTGCTACTTAGATTTCTCCATTTGTGTCGCTTACTAAACACCCCACCTCCTTTCTTCGATCTCTTCGAGTCACGTGATCGTATCTCATCTTCGGATAATAAGCTAGTGTCGTCTGAACCTTTGAAGCCGAACTTTTTCTTAAGCTTACTGTACTTGGTAGCAACCTGCGGTCTTTTTCCACCCTAGAATAGAGATATCAGTAAATATCTTGTTTAAAACATTCATGTTTATTAAGACTGCTACAACAGTTACATTTGCAGTATTTTATTCTGTTTTGCTATAATTCCAATGTTTACCGGAAGTGCTACATTTTAGACGAACAGACGACAGCTTAAACTGGTATACTAGTTCCAGAAAATATCAATCGGTCAGTTATGATCAATATCGGTCTGATTAAAAAAATGTAAAAGACAACCAAGTTAAAAGCAAAAGGTAAAATCGATGAGTAAGGAACTACTTTCTTAAAGTCACCAAAACATGTATTCTCGAGTGAAGTAATAGTTCTCTACAAAATATAGAAACGCCTTACTGAAACAAATTTTGTGTCTTGCTTTGACGTCACATTATCTTTTGCTGCAGCAAAACATTCAGCGATGGAATCATCGATCGGAAATTGTTGGACGAAAGTTTCAAACTCAACCTCGTTTTGATAAATAGCCTCGTTTTCAGAATAACTGTGACGCACATTTCCTCTTGGGGATTCAATATGGCCGTAGCGTTCCTGTATGCTTTTCATGGATATAAAATCTGCGGATGTAATAAAACACGTAAGTAAAAAGTGATTTACGAATCAGATACAATTCGAAATTACTTTACAATAATGTATCATACTCTTTGAGTAGGCCTACTATTTCAAAATTATCATTTTTAACTTCAACATAGTAAGAAGAGTAACAAACAATATTTTAAAATTTCAAAAAATGGTATTTTTACAGGTTAATTTCAGTAGAAGTAGATGATTAAAGAAATCCTAAAGTGACCATTGAGGGGATATTTATCGTGCAGTCGCTTACACTTTTTCTCCCCTAATGGTAACATCATACGATGCACGTGTGATTCGTATCATAGTTATGTTTTGTTGGCTGAAGCCAAAAAAGCTACTTTTAACAATTTACAAAAATTATGTTCAAGTAAACATTTCTTTTCTCACCAAAGATTGCTTCCGGATTCTGTTCAATGAATTCCATATCGACACTTGAGCCGGGAACCAAAACATCGTCCATGTTATAGTGTCCTCTATCGGTTTCTGGTATTTGGTAGTCAAGGAATCTTAAAGAAAAGATGATATAAACATAATTATCAACACACATTTACAATGCAAAAAGTTGACTTTGATTGACCTCTGACACTTGCACCTGACTGTTTGTATAAGTTTCTCTGAAAATTCAAAACTTTCATTATATATACTGTATCAATTTCCATTCATATGTTGCCAAAATAGAATCTGTAAGATAAAATAGAAACGTACCGTGACGCATGTTACTTTACCGTGACTTATGTTAAGTATACCGTGACGTATATTACTACACCGTGACGCATGTAACTACACCGTGACGTGTGTTACTGCACCGTGACATATGTTACCACACGGTGACGTGTGTTACTACTCTGTGACGTATGTCACTACACTGTGACGTATGTTACTACACCGTTACGTATGTAACTACACCGTGACGTATGTTATTACACCGTGACGTGTGTTACTACACTGTGACGTATGTTACTACACTGTGACGTATGTTACTACACTGTGACGTATGTTACTACACCGTGACGTATGTTACTACACCGTGACGTATGTTACTACACCGAGACTTATCATTTTTCACCGTGACATATACACCGTGACGTATGTTACTACCACGTGACGTATGTAACTTCATCGTGACGTATGTTATTACACCGTGACGTATATAACTATACCGTTACAATTGTAACTATACCTTCGCAAATGTATTTGATACTATATCGTATGAGGTAACTTGTTATAATGAATGTGACTTATGTTCAAAGTGCGCAACGATTATTTGAAACCAAAACCGGATGTCACCCTACACAGATTTTCGGTTTTTTCCATCAAAGGGAAAAATGGGGGTCGTGTTAGAATACACCGTGACGTACGTTATACACCGCGAGGTATGTTACTACACCGTTACAATTGTAATTATACTTTTGCAAATGTAATGTGGTAACATGTTATAATAATTGTGACGTTTGTTACAATATCGGAACGTATATTACTAAACCGGATGTTACTTCACACAGTAATTACCTTTCAATATACTCCAGATTATGCACGCGACTATTTCTTCGTCCTGGGAACAAAGACGATGGCGATATGACCTGGGATTCGTCAGCAACACAAAAGTTCCTTAATAGTGTGAGCATGTTTACAAATAACAAATGAACCGTTGTGGAGTCAACAAGATATCTTAAATTTATATCACTAAACGTATTCCGTAGATTTTGTATCCATCCCTTTCAGCGATCAAAAATTATTTCAAAGTATATTTTTAACGAGTCCAAGGCAAGTAAACTATTTTAAGCGCGTTTTTATAGCCTGTAAAATGTATACATGTGCGGACATCACAAATTTTAAGATATTAAAGGTTTAATTAATCGTAAATTATTGATTAACGTATAGTGTATACTATACGGTGATTAGTTTGAAAAATAAAGATAGAATTTCAGAAACTTTGCGCATCGTATTCATCAGTAAACAATGACTATGTGATCTACAAGAACAATAAAACCTAAGTCATGTAAGAAATCACCGTCGGTTAATTTATATTCCGTACAAGTCATACTATTTACTACATTATAGTATGTCGATGGTAAGAAATATAGTTTGGTAGTAACGACTAAATAAAACAACACCTCTATGGACTTTGATGTTCGGAGTTTGACTCCGCGGATTTTGTTGAACTTGAGACCGATGAGAAATTATATCAGGTATAGCAAATTCTCATTCTATCTCGGAACAACAGTAACGTCGCTTAGGTATAAAATGTCTATCTAAGACCTTTTTTTTCGTTTTTTTTTGTTTGTTTTGTTTTGTTTTTGTTTTTTTTGTTTTGTTTGTTTTTTTTTGTTTGTTTTTTTGGGGGGGGGGGTGCGAGTTTTTCGTTGTTGTTTTCCAATGGAGCAACAAAAGAAATATATATGTGTGGATCCGCACCAATTCTTAATAACAACCGAAATGAAACGAAGATATTTTTTGACAGGTTATATGGCATTATTTCAACAACCGTTCATATACGGCCATATAACCGTTCAGGAATAATGTATTAATAACGACTTTATAATGCTGCAAACTTCCTTTTTTAGGGATGAAAAGTAAGATTTCCTCATAAATTGACACCAGCCGTGTATATAAAAGTATAAAAACCTCACAATTATCCAATGAAAAGCGACGTTACATGCAGTATTATAATGTAAAAAGGATAGGGTATAACTATGTAAATAAATGAAAAGTAAAATTTCCACTCTGTTCTAAACATATTGTTTGCTTACGGAATAACGTCAACGAAAATCATGTACGTAATTTATAGAACTAAATAAAGTAGCATTCTATCGTACAATAAGCCCCATGTGTACAGTACCATTCAGCCGTTTGGTTAGATATTTAGGCCTAACTTAAAAAAGTGTTTGTTTTTCCTCCAGCGACCCAGGCCAGTTTGGGTAAGGTAGGGTAGGTAGATTTTTTTTTATCTTATCTAACATTTAAAATTATATGGACAAATAAATAAATAAATAAATAAATGAATAAAATAAATGCTTAAATGTTTAAAGTTGCATGCCTCAAGATTTTTCTCTTAGTTGATTATCTTGATTTTTTCAAAGAAAAATTCAAGATATATCCCTGCATGTTTGTATATTTACAATCCAGAAACATGGGACATATAAAAATGTGATTCTCAATGACATACACTGTTTCCATGTTAAGTTAAAATAATTATAAAAATGGCAATAAAACGTTTTGGTTATCTTTGATTTTTGTAGGTAGGTAGGTAGATAGGTAGGTAGGTAGGTAGGTAGGTATCGGGAGAGGAAACAAACAATATTTTATTTCAAGCCTTTCAATAATGATAAATGAATGAAAATTGGCGCTGTTTAATCAATGACGGGCTCTTCTATTGATCTGAACGTATAAAATTACAGATATCAAAATAATTGGAACAATAGCATGAAAGGGTGCTTAGTTGTTACCAATTATTTATGCTTTTAATATGGCAGATCGTTTTTATAGATATTTCGAATACGTGATATTCTGAATACGTGATATGAAAGTTTAGGGCTTTATATGCTGATAATGCCTCGCCTTAATCCAACTTGTCAATACATTCAAATTATGAAATATTTGTCTTCTATGTCACTCGGAAAAAATATAACGTGACTATAAAATAATTAAAATGAATTAAAATTCTAAAAAAAATAATATTTGTCATTGGTAAATCTGTCACGTGGTCTGATCCAATTGCGCCACATGCATCGTGAGAGCTTTATATGAAATAATGTTATAAGAAAAAAAATACATAAAAATACGTAAACTGTGCGTGAAATGGTATGATTATGAGGAAAGCACAGATTTTTTTGTCAATATCAAAATTAACACAACACGTAATTTCGCTCGATTTACGCTGCTTTGCATATGAAATAAGTTTGTTCTTTTTTTTTTTAAACATTCCTACGGGCTATCGGCGCGGGGTTGAGTCCTATCTACTGGGACCTCCCGGACCCTCTAAACTGTCCAATTATCTTTCAACCCCTGAAGAAAAAAAACACATATCAATAGGAAAAAACTATTCTAACAAAACTATATCCCTGATCTATAAACTATAATGTTTATAGTATTCCATATATATTTATTTTCCCTTTTTTGTATTCTAGAAAGTCCCGGGGGTGAATCCCTCGGGGAAAGGGCCTGATCCCACGTTGTAAGCCCGTGCACATTCCAACAGAAATCTGTAGTTTCAAAGCGGGACGACCTCGGTTTCACTATTCAATTTAAACGAAATGAAAAGTATTTTATATTATAAAAAACAACAACATTTAAAACACTTACCAATTCGAATTCAACCCTTTAAACAAAATTATCTCCCTTACAAACGCTCTGTTTAAGATGCGCGTTGAATATTTCTTTTTTTTTATCAAGATCTCTACAAATTATCTAAACTGTAAAGGAATCTCTATAAAAAAGTTAAATTTTATCAAAAACACTAGCTTGTTATATTGACCCTTTACACATCCTAATATTGATCAATCAATGACTGATTAAATGTTAAGGTAGGGGATAACCACTGGTAAAAATTGTACCAAGGGGCACTTATGGTCTACCTCCACTTATAAAGCAGGAAAGTCTCGCATTATGACATTTACAGTGTAGATACGACCTAAAAAGGTAACTAAAACAAAAATGGGAAACAGTGTGGTCGCTTACACTAATGTTCAGAATATACTTCTAGTCCTACGTTCTCATAACCTTGAACCTAATTTATGTAAAACGAAAGTCAAATTAATTGGCATTTTACAATCGCAAACGTCGCGTATATTTAGAAACGTGTGCATCTCATGATATACATTGTAATTTTGAACAACATTGCCCTTTTTAACATTATCACTTCAAGAAGATGAATACCCTAGAAAGTCATATGAAAAGAAAAAAAATCAGACAAGGTTTCTGTCTTCAGAATAATATACAAGCGCATGCGCGAGCTCTAAAATTTAACCTTCCGTCCCTCTCCGTCGTACTACGGTAAAATAAGATAGTTGGTAACCGGCGAAGTGTTCCGAATATAACGCCCAGACGTAAAAAATCATTTAAGTAAACGTTAATTTATAGGAAGTGAATACAATTAAAAATATGATCTAAGAAAACATAAACAATATTTTTCTTCTCAAATTTTTATAACATCTGATTTATTTAAGCGACTACACACACGTACGCAATCTAGAATTTTTTTACCCGCTGGGTATACAAAAACATTTTCTCTGGTCGAACAGGTACGACGGAAACGGTATTTATAATTTAACAATACCTTCTACAAAGATAAAATCTAAACTATCAATATTTTTATTGACATTTCAGTAACTTGTAAGGCTATGCAGGAATTAATTATTTAATACTTTATATCTAAAATCAATCTATCTAAAGTCATTCTTCTATATCCCCCCACCGTGTGCAGAATTTAATTTGACAAACTGAAACAGGTATTTGTATAAGATTCGGAAGCCTCTTGTCAAACAAAAATAGGCACATTTACGGGGACACAGTTTTTTCTTGTGTGTATTTTTACTCTGTTTACTGAAAGAGTAAAATTTAGAGCGTTATATGTAATGGAAAAGGATAAAAATATATTAATTTTTTTTATGATATGATGACAGTAATTTCATGAATTTTTTTATGATATAATGATAATTATGTCATGAGTTTTATTCTAAGATATAATAATAAATACGTCATGATTTCTTTTTGATATGATGACAATTATGTCATAAGCAACTTTCACAAATGAGGGTATTGAGTTTTTATGTGGAGGTGGTAAAAAACGCCAGTGCTTGTGTAGCGGTATTAAAATCGCCAGTAGCTGGTTGGGTGGCGGTGGTAATAATCGCCCGCTCCTTGTGTGGCGGTGGTGAAAATCGCCAGGTGCTCTCAATTTTTATTTCTTGATTCAGGAAACGTGAGAGATTTTGCAAAAGAATCCGCCATACGAGTATATGCCACCCGGTCATACAGTTCGCTTTTAATGTATTGGGGAGCAAGTTTACCCATTTAAAGTAATACCTTCGGATAAACTTCGGATACGAATTTACTTAGTTATTATGAATAATAACCGAGATTTTCCGATTGCACATATAAATGTAAAAAGAGGATCCCGCGATATATGACACAAGTACACGTTTCCTTCTTTATCTTGATGTCAATTGCTGTTATAACATATAAGGTCATGGCACATATATTATTGACAACGATCTTTAATTGATATTTTCGGTAATAAACGCAGCAGCAAACGCTCAAATTTATACGAAATACCGGTAGTGACATTTCAACTTCATACATTCACGATTTCAAAATACAGAATTCATGAATTCAAGATTTCAAATTCACGAATTCAACTTCGTGAATTTACGTTTTGAATTTCACGATTTCAACTTAGTGAATTCACGATTTCATCTTTGTTTCTACGTAAAGATGAATTTGTGAAAGTGAAATCGTGAATTCGTCAAGATGAAATTGTAAAGATCAAAACGTGACATTGTGAAGTTGAAATCGTGAATTCATGAAGTTTAATCGTAAAGATCAAAACATGAATTCGTGAAGTTGGAATCGTGAATTCCTGAAAAACGTGATTTCATTGAAAATGACACAGAAGTTGAAATGTTCCCATCCGTCTTTCGTAGATTTAAATTAATTTTCGTGAAATTAAGTTATAAATTGTTCTTACGAGTAAAAAATGAACTGAGATTTTTATATTGTATTGTTGGCGAGAGGTAATGTACATTACTTAATGCTGAAATTATTATTTGTTGTTGTTGTTGTTTATCATAGCCTTAGTCACTTATTAT